CGAAAAATAATAATGAAAATAATAATAATTACCATGCTAGCGATTATTATACTTAAAAGATATATATATATATCTATATTCTGGCATTTCGGAGATGTTGCGATTATCAACGTCGTCTTTACATAAAAGATCCTCGTTCTAGACCCTGATTAACTAAACGCACATACATACGTATATGTATGTGAGCTGCGTTATATTGCATTGCATTTGAATATGTTGTATTGTATTTACTGTTGGATTGTATTTTAATATAGAAACAGTTAATTTCCAATAAAGAGTTTTTAAATACACGCATTGTTTGCCGCATTTCTTTTTCTCATTATCAAAATGGAACACAGCCTCCAAATCCCCAAAGGAACGCACACAAAGTGGGAGTTCAATCAAGAGGAAACAGGAAAGCACAATTATTTAAAGGCTAGTCGCCCATTTAATACCCTTACAGCTCGAGATGTTCAGTTACATAAAGTATTATATTTGATATAATAAACCATATCCATATAATATAAAAATCGCAGATATATAAGAATCAAAGTAAAGCTCATAGTAATTGAATCTCTTGAAGATCTTGTGAAATGAAAAATAAAAAGTGTTTTCTGACTGATCTTTCCAATGGGGAATACCTATGCAAATGATAAGAATTGGCGGATAGTAAAGAGAGCATTCGATCGATATTCCGAACGTTCCTATATATAGCTGCCATATAATAAAGTTGTTCGATGCGCATAAGATTTTGCATGTACATCTATGAAAAGCTCAGTTAAGCTCCCAATTTTGCACAATTTTGGAGGGCAACTGAAAAAAGTTAAGTATTCTGGATCTGCATAAGCTTTAGTCTACATACAAAATTTGGAGTCTATAAATCACATAAGCTTCAAGATATGCTTAAATAATAAACTTAGAATATCTTCCCATAGGTTTAATTGCAGATATGTGGCAATAGTCAAGAAAACAAAATAGATACTATTCTTTCGTCCTATTCTTCCTATTTAATATATATGTAAGTGCGATCTTGTTCAGATTTAACAGCATAGTTTTGATAGTTAAAGCCGACATAGAAAAGTTTTGCCTAACTGGACCAAATGCTCTACCGATCGTTCCTATGGCAGCTTTATGATATAGTATATAGTATAGTATATAGATATTTAGACTTGCTGCAGCAGCAAGGTTGGACCTATGCTAAGTTTCGAGAGCAAAGCGTTCAAACTGAGTTCGCATGGAAACAGACAGACGAATAGACGAACAGACAGACATGGCGATATCAAGTCGGCTATTGATGCTGATCGAGCATATATATACTTTATGGAGTCTCTAATGTCTCCTCCTTTCACCCTATGTAGCCTCTACATAATTCCAATATCGATTCTTTTCGCTTTTGATTTGAAATCAACTTGAACTGCATGGAAACATTTTTAGCTCTTATAGTATAGAGAAGAGTTTATTATAAATTTTAATTCATTATATAATTTTTAATTCATATAACAATGTGTCTGCTCCTATGCACTACTCCTTTCATGACCAACCCATAATGTCCACTGAAAGGGTGCAAGAAATGCCAAAAACAACAAGTCGAAAAGAAATGCCCACGCCGAGAATAAATATTCCTAGCACTCTCCGCTGGGGCTGCAACTGGGGCTGGGGCTGGGGCGTTTTTCCATTTTATTGGTATTTGGTATTTGGTAAAACTCTTCGTTTGGCATTTCATGATGCTGTCATTATGCGAGGAGGCCGCATTGTTTAGAGATCAAATGCCAATGTGTTTGGAATTTAAGGAACTGCCTTGCCAGCCAACAATGTGCCAGAGCAAAAGAATTCGATTCGTTGGGCGTGGCACGGGAATGGGGCATGATGTTGCACGTACCACAAATCAATACGGCAAGTGCGCAGCCTCACACACACACACACACATAGAGACACACACAGAGACACACACCTCGGGCATATTTGGTTTAATTAAAAAAGTTCAGCAATGTTTCTGAACAATTGATTCGTAAATTGACATCGTTGACATTTTAATGCGTTTAGTTCCGCCTGTCACTTAATGCGAGTTTTATCTGTAATACCCATTAACATACATATTGAACCGGGGTATCTCGGACACGATTTGGCCCTAATGGCGCGAACATTTGTCAGCCAGGGGACGCTTTTTTATGCCCTTGCAGTGGATATTCTAATTTTGTCGTGTAATGTGTAACACATAGAAGAAGACATCTCCGAGCCCATAAAGTATATATATATTCTTGATCAGCATCGATAGCACGCAGTCGGAACCAACTGGATCGGACCACTATAACATATAGCTGCCATAGGTACAATTGGTCAAAAAGAAAGTTCTTGTGTGAATAAGTTTTTTGTTTATTAATATATCTTCACCAAACTCAACATTTATTAGTTTTACTATGCCCCTTATATATATGCAAAGTCCTATCGAAATCCGATCACTATATCATATAGCTGCCATAGGTACGATTGATGAAAAAGTTAGTTCTTATATGAAAACCTTTTTTGTTTCTTAAGATATCTTAACCATATCCGGCATTAACTATTTATTTGTGTCTGCAAGGGTATTGAATGCTCGGCTTGCCGAAGATAGCCCGTCTTTCTTGTTCCTTTTTCTGCTTAGTTTATTTTATCCACTTTTATTGCGAACCCTGCTTATGAATAATGCAGCGAATGCTTTTAATTATACAAACGTACCAGGTATTCCCCGTAAATGGGCCCCGCACTTTGCCTGCAGCCAAGTGTAAAGAGTCGTGTTTATTAGCCAAAAACAAACTCAGCTTGTGCGTTTGTGTATTCTGGCTAAAGTTCCACTTTAATGTAATAGGAATTACCCGAACGAGCAATGGCGGGGGAAGGCCCCTAATGAAATGCATTGTCAAATGAAATGGTAAAATTGACGACGTCCACTCTTTCCTCAAGTGCTCAACCGCATTAAATCAGCAAACTAACCGCCACTAAATAAACACACACCCCCTTAACACACACCCACACACACACACACTCGCACACACATGCCAGACATGCCTGGACATACGTGAGTACAAGATGTTGCCGACGTGGCTGCTGCCCGGGTCAGGATCTAAAGTTAAAAGCACTTGTAACAAATTGAAATCATTCATCTTACTTTTCGCATTCATTTGCACTCACATCTTAGCACTCATACCCTGCCTCTCCCCTCACCCTCCACCACTGGGCATATTAAATTCGCCTGGTCAGCCAATAGCATTAAGTAGCCGGGTTTTGGGCTTTTCTTTGCCCAGGTAATGCCCGTGCCGTTTATTTATAGCGGGTGGGGGGGAAAGCCAACGGCAACGAGCTCCTTCTAAGCTAATCTGTACTAAAAACTAAGCTTAGGTATTGCTCATATATAAATTTCCACAATAGTGTCAATAAACAACAAGGTTCCGGGTTCGAATCTTAATTAAGCATGTGAAAGCTTCGTTGCTTTTAATGCGAGGCTGAGGCATAAAGTGTTCCATGCACAGTGTGTGCATACTAAATTTGGCTGATTGACAGATTGATTGACTGACAGATTGACAGGCATGGCCCAAAAAACAAAAGATATGTCTCTTAAGTATTGATTGGTATAACAAGTATTTAATTTAAGAAACAACCACATTGATATTTTGCAAAATTAGTGTCTCGAAATATATATATATATATACATAGAAGATCTGACATAATTTGCCTGATGTAGTTCATTCCAAAATGCTTTAAGCGGAAAACTACAAATTAAAATTATCAAATTTGTATGTAACTGAATAAAAGTAGCAATTTTTTTTATGAGAGATCAAGGTTTTTAACCAAGTTAAACATTCCCAGTTAAAATCATATTTAATACTAACTCGCTTTTAATTTGTTTAGGAATTTTGCTTAAATACACACATTTTCATAATTGTAGCAAATGTGTCTGTGGCTTGTAAACTATAATTTCAAGGAATGTGTACACACTCATCTATGTACATTTTACTTGATAGTGTTGCCAGCTCGTTACAAGCAAATAAAAATGCTAATCGAGTTAGTGGGTAATGAAAAGTTGCATTTATTTTTATTAAATGTCAATACTTTTTAGTCCTAGCGTTAACCGTGAGAATTAATTCAGTGGAAAAAGAACAAAACACGTTTTAAAGCGGACAACATTGCCGCTGCCCGTCAAAAGTAAAGTACAGTTTGACGGAAAATAAGCGACGCCTGACAACACTGGCTGCAACACTCTAAATAACTGAATGAGCGCATTTGATTAAGTGCACACTTAAACAAAGGCATTTAATTAACATAAGTATATCGATATTTTATGCGCTGTGCACAAATTCGAATTGAACATAAATACGCATTGTGCTCGCTTATTTGCCCATACATCGAAAATAAAGGAGGCAACAAAGAATGGGGCAAAAAAAATATGGGAAGAAGTAAACTTCAGTTTTCGCTCAATCGAGTTGTCTGCTGCAGCAGCCGCAAGCACTTTCGAGTGGCTGTGGCTATTAAAACGGCCCAAGAACTGTCAAGCTCAAGTAGAAGAGAAATCAACGCGCCATTCAAGCAAAAAATTGCATTGATGAGGCTAAAGATGGCACAAAGCAAATATGAGTAAGAATCAGAAGAAGCTGCACACATACAGCCAAGAAGCGCCGAGCGTCTTATACGCATATAGTCTATTTACTTATAAAATTAATCATATGCAGAGAGTAATTATCAGAAGAAGCTGCACACATACAGCCAAGGCTCGCTGAGCGTCTTATACGCATATAGTGTATTTACTTATAAAATTAATCGTATGCAGAGAGTAAGAATCAGAAGAAGCGCTGAGCGTCTTATACGCGTTTCTTCTAAATTATTTACTTATAAGGTTAATCGTATGCAGAGAGCCACGCTGCCTGATAAGCTCGGATCAGTGTCTCGCTAACTCTCTCTCGCTCTCGCTCTCTCTCCCTCCGGCAATGCGACAGCATGTGAGTAGAATCGAGCTGATATTTAGAAGCCGCTCTCAGTCTTATTTGAACTGGCGGCGGGAAGCGTACGCTGCTACGCTTAATATCAACAATTTTCAAAGAAATATATTCTGTTCTTTATTGAAATTCTCTAAAACGAAATGAATATCCTGCTGGGTTTGATTTTGCTGCAAGGCATATATCACAGCTACGCCCAAGGTGAGCTGAGTCAAACAAATTGTTGGGTAGAATCCCAGCATTGAGTCAGAGAGTTGCTTTCAAAGAAAAAAACCAACAACAACAACACAACTGGTTATCAGCTTGAACTCGACCCAATGGAATCTCTGAAGCGTTTCGTTAATTAAAAAAACATTAATCGTGGGGCTTTTTCTTACGCTTACGACGCTATCTTTTTGTTTTGATATTAATTTATGTATGTATATTTTTACAGAAATTTTTGGCTATTGTACAACGCCAACGGATCAAAGTGGCACTTGCATCCATCTCACAGAATGCAACTATCTCTTTGAGCTGGTCCAAAAGCGCACCATATCTGCAGCCAATCGCGCTCTGCTGCAGAACAGCCAATGCGGCTATCGGAATGGTCAGGTGCTGGTGAGTACTCTTATATAGAGAGAGAGCGAGTAGCTTTAGAAGAGTTTTTTATGTCCTCCTGTACTCTGCTAAATAGTGTAAGCGAGGGTAAAGCGAAACATTGAAAATCCCTACTCCAAAATATTTGTTAATGGTAAATCTTAAAAATAGAATTCAAAACTTTTCTCTGATTCTAGCGGGAATCGAAGCATAAAAAATTGTCAACAGTTACAGTTATCTGCACAGAATTCAAAACTTCTTCGATACTTTGATAACTGATTTATCTGTTCGATAGAATCTATCGCAAATAAAAGTATCGATAATTGTCAGCAGTTACAGTTGTCTCTCAAATTCTATTTAAGCTCAATTTTGAGACATTTTGCGTTAGCAGAGATTTCACTGTACTTAAGCTAATGATATTAATGGAAAAATAATGCACTTACAGATTTGCTGCGCCAACAGCCGCAGACTTAGCCAGCAGCCCGTGTGGGGCCAGCCTGCGCCCAAACCGCAGCCACAGCCTCAACCGCAGCCACAGCCGACCACCACGCCCACAACGCCCACAAGGCGCTCCAATTTGCTGCCGCAGGTGCCGAACTGTGGCGACAACTTTGGCGATCGGATCGTGGGCGGCGTGGATACCGGCAAGAAGGATTTCCCCTGGATGGCGCTCATCGAGTATACGAAACGTGAGTCCACAAATGTTTCCACATGAGCGATGCATTAATAAACGGCATTTTTAGCGGGCAACGTGATTGGACACCATTGCGGCGGTTCGCTGATCAACAACCGTTATGTGCTGACAGCGGCGCATTGTGTGTCTGCGATACCGGACAATTGGCGGCTGACGGGCGTGCGTCTGGGCGAATGGGACACGACCATGAATCCGGACTGCACCACGGAGCGAAGCGGCAAGACGGACTGCAATGATCCATATGTGGATGTGGGTGTGTCTGAGATAATACCGCATCCCCAATATCCGGGCAATGCACGGGATCAGCTGCACGACATTGCGCTGCTGCGTTTAATACGGCAAATCGCCTTCACGGATTTCATTTCGCCCGTTTGCCTGCCCATCAAGCCGGAGCACCAGAATACCATTTTCCTGGGCCGTAAAATGATTGTCGCCGGCTGGGGACGCACCGAGACCAATTCCACATCGAACGTGAAGAAAAAGGCTGAACTAGAATCGGTGGCTACGGCGGAATGCAATCGCCGTTATCAGACCCAGCGGCGCACCGTGACCTCCAGCCAGATCTGCGCCGGCGGCGTCGAAGGCATCGATTCGTGCCGCGGCGATTCCGGCGGACCTTTGAGTAAGTACTTCCTTAGTATTCCACAATCTCGGTGATATAATCTTTGATTCTTTTATCTCAGTAATGGAGGACTTCAATGAGGGATACGGCAATTACTATCTCACCGGCGTTGTGTCCTACGGGCCGACCCCATGCGGCCTTTCTGGCTGGCCGGGCGTTTACACACTTGTGTCCACGTACATTGAATGGATTGAGAGCACGATTAAAGCATAAGATCGTTACACTATTGTACAAGCTGGTTAAAACCGATTGATTATTAAAATATGCGAAATATGAAATATGATGGTAAACACGAATAGTTTGCGCCAAATTAATTATAGTGTGCGCAGTTGTTATCGATAAATTGCTTACATGCTCCTTTTTGCGTTAACATGCGTCAAATGTTATGCTGCTGTTAATAGCAACTATCGATTATACTATCAATATATCGATTGGGATAGTGCAATATTGTAAAAGTTAATTTACCGGGATAAAATGTTGAAAAACATCTGTGTCACACAATTAAATTTGCTTAAAAGCGCAACCAGTCTGCAGCAACAAGTGCGAGTAAGTTGTGCCCGCCTTATAGAGTTCTCTTTAAGTCAACTAACAGCAGCTCCCATCCACCCGAGCAGACCACGTTCGTGCTGAAGCGCAAATATGAACCACTGTTACACAAGACCAATGAGAAACCGCGTCGGATGCGGGCCAAGCACTTTATCTATGAGCTGGTGGAGGACACGCTCGTCAAGAAGCGCCCCAACTTGGAGGTGGTGCTGAAGACCTTCGTCGAGGGCGTTGGCGACAAGGGCGACGTTGTCTCGATGAAGCCGCATTTCGTCTACAACAAATTGCTGCTGCCAGGCCTGGCGACTTACAAAACGCCGGAGAACATGGCCAAGTATGCGAAAACAGAGGCGGAAAAGTCGTCGGTGCAGCACAGCTCAGCGTATGCCCAGCGCACCGTCAACATGCTGGAGTCCATTGTGCTGGCAGTGATCATGAACAAGGATGAACCCTGGGTGCTGGAGCCGTGGCACATCAAAGCCTCCCTACGCAAGGCGGGCTTCCACTGCAAGGAGGAGTGCATAACGCTGCCCAAGGAGCGCATCGAGGGACCCGATCTCAGAAAGGAGAACAAGGAGTTCTGCTGCACCATAACGATCAACAAACTGGAGCAGGCCAAGCTCAGGTGTCGCATACATCACTGGAGCACCGATCCCAGCGAACGTTTACCCTACGTGCTCGAGCATTGGAAACTGCCAGCGGAGCCCCTGTTAGACGTGGGCTTGCCGGAGGCCGCGGCCACAAACGAATCGGCAAAGCCTGTTTGAGCCAATTGTTTAGAAAATAAAAGAGACGCCGTTTTTTATCCTATAAATCTGTTTTATTTTAAATCAACGTTTTGCAAATAAAGAGTGTATGATAGTTATATATTAATGAAACAAAAAATGCGCACAATTCGCTGTGATATTTCCGCGTACTATATTTCCTCGTTCATAACTGAACGATCTGCTGCTGCTGTTGTTGTTGTTGTTGTTTGGTTATAATTCGTAAAACCTAATGCCTATATTTAGTTGCCTAATTGTTGAAGTCGCGTTTAGTGCACGGCCTTCAACTCAACGTCAAAGACAAGCGTGGAGTTTGGCGGAATGGTCGGCGGATGGCCGCGCGTGCCATAGGCCATGTGGGCGGGGCAAGTGATGCGACGCTTGCCGCCCACCTTCATGCCAACAACACCGACATCCCAGCCCTTGATGACCTCGCCGGCGCCCAAGGCGAACTTGAAGCCGTTGCCCTTCTGCATGCTGTCAAAGGTCTTGTTGTTGGACTTGAGGCGTCCAATATAGTAGACGGAAACGCGCTTGCCCTGCTTGGCCTCGGGTCCGTTGCCGTTCTGCAAATCCTGTACTTTAACACCACCAACTATGGTGCGTTCAGCGGCAGCTTGCTTAGCATCCTTTGCCTTGGGCTGCTCTTTCTTAGCTTCAGGAGCGGCGGCAGCTGCTTTCTTGTCCTTCTTCGACTTCTGCTGCTGTTGCTGCTGCTGCTGCTTACCCTCCTTTTTGGCCACACCATTCTGTTCCTTGGGTGACTTCTTTGCGGCTTCATTTACTTTGGCTTTTTTGGCCTTGGGTGCATCTTCTTCCTCCTCCTCATCCTCAGAGTCATCCTCCTCCTCATCTTCGTCATCCTCCTCTTCACCAGACTCATCCTCTAGGAATGAGGAGTATTCAGCAGCTAATTTACTGTCATCCACATCCTCGTCCTCATCATCGTCCTCTTCCTCAGCCTCTTCGCTGCCATCATTGTCCGAATCACTGTCATTGCCGGCAATGCCCTTTTCTTGCTTCAAAGCATTGACAACATTCTCATATTCTGCGTCCTCGAACTCATCGTCCGACTCCTCAGCATCGTGAAGGTAGCCAATCAAGGAAACCAGAGCATCTCCTGCAAATGTACATGTGTACGGGTGTGTGTATATGTGGTATATATATGTGCCTTACCAGTTGTTTGGAACATGATCTTGTCGCCCTTGCAGAAGTTCAAATCGAGCGCCATTTGCGGCACGCTCTTGGACAAAGTCGCCACAATGAACTTGGTCTTGTCGGCCGTAATGTAAAGTTTGGCGGACTCGCCCTCATCGAGCGCAACACCCGAAATATGGAACGACTTCACAATGGTTTGCGTGTATTTGCGGTTAGGCTTCATACTTAATCCTGCAAGAAAACAGAACGAAATTGCATATTACATCGGATCCGGAAAATTGCCCACGCTGCAGCGGGCGCAAGCACGTGGTGATAAAAAATCAAGATCACAAGCCGGCTGAGCGCACGCTTAGCATGGGTAAGATAGCTCGCATATAATAATTAAATAATATAAAACTACTTACCCCAAAACATCGACATATTGCAGCTTTTAATTTATTTAGCACAGAAATGAATGGAAAAAACGTGCACGACACCAAAGGCTCTGGAACAAACGACCGACGCCGGCTAATTGCAGTGCTGGAAAAGACTGTAAAGGCATTCCGGCGCCAACGATGAATGCCCGAGGTCTATCGATAATTTAAAAGTGGCACTCACATATAACGCGCTTAGTGCAACGCTGCGTGCACGCGCTTCGCTGTGATTGACACACAAAAAAAAAACTGTGTTTGTGTATTTGTATTGAGAAAATCTTGTGTCTGAGAAACGCAGCGCCTGCAGCCCCGCCTTTGAGTGCGATATTTATCTGCACTTCCGTTGTTGTTAGTTAGAGTGATGACAAATAAAGCAACATGACCGAAAAGATAACACTTGCCGATGCCCTGTCCAATGTAGAGGTGCTGGACGAGATACCGCTGCCCGACGAGCAGCCCTGCATTGAGGCCCAGCCCTGTTCAATTATCTACAAGGCAAATTTTGATACGAATTTCGAGGATCGCAATGGATTTGTTACGGGCATTGCCAAGTACATCGAGGAGGCGACTACGCATGCAAATTTGGTAAATCAAATATACCAATTGGTTAATTATTTGTAATATACATCTTTTGCCCCGCAGAATGTTTTACTTGACGAGGGACAGAAGCATGCCGTCATGCTATACACCTGGCGCTGCTGCTCCCGCGCCATACCGCAGCCCAAATCTAATGAGCAGCCCAATCGCGTGGAAATCTATGAGAAGACCGTGGAGGTGCTTGCGCCGGAAGTGAATAAATTACTCAATTTCATGTACTTTCAACGCAAGGCAATTGAGGCCTTTTCGGGCGAGGTGAAACGTCTGTGTCATGCAGAGAAACGCAAAGATTTCGTATCGGAGGCATATCTGTTGACGCTTGGCAAATTCATCAACATGTTTGCCGTGCTCGACGAGCTGAAGAACATGAAGTCGAGCGTAAAGAACGATTATTCGACCTATCGACGTGCTGCGCAGTTCCTGAAAGTGATGTCCGATTCGCACACACTGCAGGAGTCACAGAATCTATCAATGTTCTTGGCCACCCAAAACAAAATACGTGACACCGTCAAGGATACGCTGGAGAAGATCGTTGGCTACGAGGATCTACTGTCGGATGTGGTCAATATCTGTGTGCACATGTTTGAAACGAAAATGTATTTGACGCCCGAGGAGAAGCACATGCTTGTCAAAGTTATGGGCTTTGGTCTGTTTCTCATGGACAGCGATGCGTGCAACATCAATAAGCTGGATCAGAAGAAAAAGATACGTCTGGACCGCATCGATCGTATCTTCAAGAACCTGGAGGTGGTGCCGCTCTTTGGAGACATGCAAATTGCTCCATTTAACTATATAAAACGCAGCAAGCACTTTGATTCCAGCAAATGGCCGTTATCCAGCTCAAATGCCATCAGCCCACAGGCGGACTTGATGGTGCATTTGCCGCAGATACGTGAGGATCATGTCAAGTATATATCCGAGCTGGCACGCTACACCAACGAGGTGACCACCACCGTCAAGGAGAATCCTTCGGATGCTGAGAATCGCATCACCGCAGATCTTGCACTGCGCGGTCTGCAGCTGCTCTCCGAATGGACCAGCGTCGTCACCGAGCTGTACTCGTGGAAGCTGCTGCATCCAACAGATCATCATCAGAATAAGGATTGCCCCGTAGAGGCGGAGGAATATGAGCGCGCCACACGCTACAATTACACATCCGAGGAGAAGTTCGCACTGATCGAGGTAATTGCCATGATCAAGGGTCTTCAGGTGCTAATGGCACGCATCGAGACGGTTTTGTGTGAGGCAATAAGACGCAATATCTACTCCGAGCTGCAGGACTTTGTGCAGCTAACACTACGCGAACCGCTCCGCAAAGCGGTCAAGAACAAGAAGGATTTGATACGCAGCATCATTATGTCTGTGCGTGAAACCTCGGCCGATTGGCAGAAGGGCTTTGAGCCCACCGATGATCCGGTGTCCAAGGGCAAGAAGGATCCCGATGGTGGCTTTCGCATACATGTGCCCCGCCTGAATGTGGGCCCCTCATCCACGCAGCTGTACATGGTTCGCACCATGCTAGAGTCCCTCATCGCCGACAAAAGTGGCGGCAAGCGGACGCTGCGAAAGGACATCGATGGCAACTGTCTCATGCAGATCGATACGTTCCACAAGACATCCTTCTATTGGAGCTACCTGCTCAATCTAAGCGACACGCTGCAAAAGTGCTGCGATCTATCCCAGCTATGGTATCGCGAGTTCTATCTGGAAATGACCATGGGCCGCAAGGTGAACAAGTGCCTGGTGCGGCATCAGCACAACGAGGAATGCAAGGATCTGATCACCATGGAAAAACGCATACAGTTCCCCATTGAAATGTCCATGCCTTGGATATTAACTGATCACATACTCCAGACCAAGGAGCCATCCATGATGGAGTTAGTTCCCGATCCAAACCAATCAATTGAGATGAATAACAACTATTTCCATTGCAGATTTGTCTTGTATCCCTTGGACTTGTACAACGATTCGGCACACTATGCGCTGACTGTCTTCCGTAAGCAATTCCTCTACGACGAGGTGGAGGCTGAGGTCAATTTATGCTTTGATCAGTTTGTCTATAAGCTAAGCGAACAGATATTTGCCCACTACAAGCAGCTGGCAGGCAGGTGAGTCCAATTCTGGATCCTCAGATGGATGTAGATAAAAGAATGGGAGTATATCTGATAGTCCATCTAGACTTGTCTGTCTGTCTGCAGACTATAGACTATACATTTTGATTATTTGAAAACAATTTTATCCTTTCATCAAGCTACTCAGAAATATAGAAATAAAGATGGTTAGACTATGTCCTTTGAGCATATCTCTAAGCAGTTAAAGATCTTGGATCTAGAGTTTTTCATTAAATTGGGAAATTGGGTATTTGCTAGTCGGACTAATTTAATTAAGATATTGCCCTTGTTTCCTTGCAGCATTTTTTTGGATAAACGTTTTCGCCTGGAGTGTGAGGTGCTTGGCTTCAATTTCCAATCTTATCCACGCAATAATCGCTACGAGACGCTGCTAAAGCAACGCCATGTGCAGCTCTTGGGTAAGGCAGAAGGAAACTTCCAACTTTAGTTACGACTGGACTACATTTGCTTGCTTTTCAGGCCGTTCCATTGACCTGAACAAACTGATTACACAACGCATCAATGCAAATATGCACAAGAGCATCGAATTGGCCATCAGCCGCTTTGAGGGCAACGACATCACAGGCATTGTGGTAAGCCGAAGATTAGCCACAAACCCAACCACAAAGCTCAACTTTGGTCTTATTTTGTTTGCGCAGGAACTTGAGGGGCTTTTGGAAGCCAATCGCATTTGTCATAAAATGCTCAGCAAGTATTTGGCATTGGATAACTTTGATGGCATGGTTAAGGAGGCTAATCATAATGTGCTGGCGCCCTATGGTCGGATCACATTGCATGTTTTCGTCGAATTGAATTACGATTTTCTGGTTAACTACTGCTATAATGCGGCCACAAATCGGTAAGATGCTTTATTAGAGCTTTGCATCGAACCAATCGAAGCTCCTTTCGAGTACAAAAGTAGTCTGAACTTTATCGACTCGATCTGTTAGATATTCGGACAATATATTAGGTCGATCAACTTCACTGAAAACTTGGTTTAGTCAAAAAAGTAAGCTCCAGATTTCAAACTCGACTCTAGCGTATGTTCGAGCGTGTATTGTGTCACATCGAACATGTTGCGGACACAAGCAGCTCGAACTTTGTTCGATTGAATATCCGAGTTTGATGCAAATAAATCAACCGATGCAGGGCTCTACCTTTTAACACAGTTTGAATTATCTAACACATCCTTGTTTTTTGCAGCTTTATACGCACCAAAGTCAATTTGTCGTCCTCACAGGCCATACAGCGTGAGAAACCGTCGCAGATGTCGCATTATTATCTCTGGGGCTCAAAGCAGCTGAATGCTGCATACTCCACACAGTTTGGCCAGTATACGGGCTTTGTGGGTGCACCGCATTTTCATGCCATGTGCCGGCTGCTGGGCTATCAGGGAATCGCTGTCGTCATGGATATTATATTGAAGGATATTGTCAAGCCGCTGATACAGGGCTCGTTGCTGCAGTTCACCAAAACTTTGATGATTGCCATGCCCAAATCTTGCAAATTGCCACGCTGCGAATATGGTTCGCCCGGCGTGCTCAGCTATTACCAGGCGCATCTAACGGACATTGTGCAATATCCGGATACCAAAACGGAGCTATTTCAATCGTTCAGAGAGTTTGGCAACTGCATCATCTTTTGCCTGCTCATCGAGCAGGCCCTGTCGCAGGAGGAGGTCTGCGATCTGCTGCATGCGGCGCTCTTCCAAAACATCTTTCCGCGTCCCTTCTGCAAAGGTGTGGCTGAATAGATCCCTTTCACATAATTTAATATTTATGATATTTATATATGTTTACAGAAAATGAAAAACCAGAGGCCAAGCAGAAACGTCTAGAGGCGCAGTTTGCAAATCTGCAAATCGTTTCCAATGTAGAGAAAATTGGCACAGCCAAGGTAAAAAGCCAGTGAATCAATTAACTGATTGTTTAATTAATTAATGAACGGACTGATTAGCTCACAGCCCATAACGTAATATTGAGCTGCTGAATTTTAGCTTTAGTTTATTAAGCTAATACCAAGTATTTTATTTATAAGAGAATTGGAAAGTTAGAAGCGCTTAATCGAAGTTTAAAAAATGTAATCCACCCACTCCAAATGTAAGCTAATGACTTTCTCACATCCTTGATAATTTATCGCTCGAGCGATCTATGTGTCAAGGACTCGACCGTGATTAAGACCGTGGTCAATAAGGCCAGATTTGTTTGGAGTTTCATCAAACGATGATCGATGATCGTTCACGACAAGGACACTCTATATATATCTTTAGTACGACGTATCCTTAATACACCACCATATTCTTCTCATCATGACAGAATTGACTTCGTACAAAAACAATTCCTGTTGTTTGCCCTTCGTAGTTTAAATTGTAAATTTAAATTCCGTAGAACCATGCTCGGTGTAAAACACATTCACATTCTCTAGTTAGTCTTAGCATGTAGTCGTATTTAATTTGCTCTAATAAATTTATATTTCGATAATCTTTAACCACAGCAAGCGATGATAGCACGAGAGGGAGATCTGCTGACACGCGAGCGTCTTTGTTGCGGCCTGAGCATATTTGAGGTAATATTGAATCGGGTCAAGAGCTATTTGGATGATCCCGTCTGGTGTGGGCCACCGCCCGCTAATGGCATCATACACGTGGATGAATGCTCCGAATTTCATCGGCTGTGGTCCGCGCTGCAGTTCGTCTATTGTATACCCGTGCGCGGCACCGAGTACACCATCGAGGAGCTGTTCGGCGAGGGCCTCAACTGGGCTGGCTGCGTCATGATTGTGCTGCTTGGCCAGCAGCGACGCTTTGAGGCACTCGACTTTTGCTATCACATCTTGCGCGTGCAGCGCGTTGACGGCAAGGATGAGGATGTGAAAGGCATTGTAAGTAGCGCCAGCCACAAATCAAATCAAATCAAGTCAAAATCAAATCCCATTCATAATAATTTCACTTCTTTATGCAGCAACTGAAGCGCATGGTGGATCGCATCAGACGCTTTCAAGTATTAAACTCACAAATCTTTTCAATACTTAACAAATATCTGAAGGGCGGCGACGGCGAGGGCTCAAATGTGGAGCATGTGCGCTGCTTTCCGCCGCCACAGCATCCCTCGGTCATATCCTCGTCGTCGCACTATCAGGATCCACAAAAGCTGCGGCAAAGCATGAACAATTGAGCATGTCATGATGTCTTGCATTTAAGCTAATCGTAGGCACTTACGTTAATATTTAATCCGAATTACAAGCTACTCACACAATATGCGGGCATGTACGCTGAGTTTTGCAAATCAAAACTAAGCATGTGCCACAGCCAGAGATATATACATTCGATTTTATTACATTTGTTTATTATTACCCTATTTTTGTGGTATATACTCTACACATTATGTATATTGAATTATGCAAATTATACGCTGCTCTAGATTTATAGATTTAACAAAATTCCACGCTACAATTTTTCCAATCTGCAGCTCAGTTAATTACAAAAATAGAAACGAGAAATAACCATTAATTATGCGAGAATCAAATTAGCCAAAGAATTGACAAATGGGCAATGAATAAATTGGCTTTAAACGCGACAAAACAGTTTTTAAAAAATAAAGAAAACGAAAGAGTATTAAATAAAAAGTAATACAGCCAATTAGCCAGCGCGCATATAAATCAAATTTTTTATATGCCCGAGCATATTTCCATATGTAACAGAATTGACTATATATACGTTATATATACATATATATATATAAATATATATATACATAAACTTAATACAATGAACTTTATCGAATAAAATTTTCATACGTATTTCTAACAAACCCTTATAAGCTGGGTTTTTATCTGGCGTGAGGTATATAATTGTCTATGTACATTATTTATATCTGTATTTTATAATTTATTAATCAATAATTTCTTTCCACCTAGACAAAGCTGAGTCCACAACATTTTTGATTTGTATATATGTTTGTTTTATTCACTGAATAATTTTGGAATGCCTGGAGTAATACAATTATGTTACACTAATAGGCTTTAATTGGGAGCCCATTTTTTGGCGGACTGCCGCCCGGATGAATGTGCAGCACCGTAAAGTTATCGGCATAGTTGCGCGGCAAAGCGAATTTGGCACTGTCGGCGCCCAGGTAGCAGGCGCCGTAGGCACTGCTCTTGGTGATGCGCACCAGCTTGAGATTGTAGTCGATGCTCATCTTTGAGATCTCCTTGATGAAAGCCTCCTGCAGCAGGTTCCAGCTGCTCCACACAGAGCCCACGCAGACGACATTCAGATCGCCGGACTTCACCAGATCGCTGTGCACCTTGGGCAGCAGTGACTTAATCATGCGCGCCAGCAGCACGCCGGCCTCATGGAACAGCGACAAGGCCAGCTTGTCGCCGGCTTCCGCATTCTGGGCCAGCTTCTTGCACAGATTGGCAAAGAAGGGCTTGTCGAATTTGGCATAGCAATGCGGCAGCATATCGTAGCGTGTCTCTATGCTAAAATGCTCGCGGATGAGCGCCCAGGTCTTATCGATGGGCAGCGGCGACTTCTCCAGGTTATCCATGTCGTCGAAGACCAGCTTGATGGCCCGATATGATATGTACCAAGCTGGAAAACAATTAAATGCCAATTACTCATACGTTCGCCCATGAATCTATGATTAGCCGTCCATCAAATGCTATCAGCGAATCCTAATCGCAAACTGGGTCGCATTCGCTGATAACAATTGGCTTTGTGGGAAAGACATCGCCTGGCACTCACCGCTGCCCTCGTCCCCGAGAAAATGACCCCAGCCGCCGCAGTTGGCCGTGCTGCCGTCCGGATTGCGCAGCAGGCAATTGGAGCCCGTGCCGGAGATGAGCACCATGCCGCCAATGGAGGAGGCGGTAAACATGCTGCCCATGGTATCGCTCGAGACGGCATAGCTCTCGGCCAGATTGGGATATGTGCTGCGCAGCTCCTGCTCCAGCTCACGATTGGTGGCCTCCTAGTTAAGCAGACAGATTTAAACCTGGACGGGAATGTCAGTCGAATTCTCCATACGCCACCTGCTCACAGCCGCTCAAACTCAGACCCAGGCTCGCTAGTGGTGTGTCCTTTGGTATCTTGGCCTCATCCTTGCAACGCTCCACCATGTCAGCAATGCGGCGTGCACATGTCGGTATGCCAATGCCCCAATGATTTGTACCCAGCCCACTGGCCGTGCCCACAGACTCGCCGCTCTCATCGCAGATGACCAAATGCGAGTGCGTTGCACCGCTGCCAAAACAAGGAAATTATACGAGATGCCATTATATATATATGTCGTGATGTGCATCCGGTTGGATCCTATTGTTCGACTATTGTGCTGCTTAAGGGTCATGACCGGGAACAATGCCTCTTTATGGACGTCTCTATCAATAGTAATTCAATTAAATCAACGCAATTGAGCAAATTGATATTAAAGCTATTCTATATTTGGTAACGTTTATTAAATTAATCAATTTTCAAAGAGGCTACAATAAATGACCTCACGTGCCTTATCAATTTCCGACTTTAATACATTCAAAATAATGAATTAGTATCGGGAGAATGCTCATTATAGAAAATAAAACCAATTGAACATTCTAATAAGAATTATAACGTAATCCCAATAAGCGTATGCACTCTAAACAGTTTTCGATTTTTTAAAATACCAAATTCTAGAAATTCAAATTTCCCTCCCATATTTGTAAGCGTTGTTATTTAGCTTTATTTACTTGACCTACATTTATGTATTTTTATAGAACTACCGAATTTATTTATTTCTAAGATAAAATAAGCGAGTAGACATCAATGCGGGTAAATTGAACATAACTTTAACAAGCCCAGGTCACATTAAGATATACCATATATATACATGTGTGCGTGTGTGTGTTCCCTCATTCAATTCCTGTTATTGTGCGCGCCAGTTGCCAGCCGTGGAACTGCAATCGAAACGCGCCTCAATTCAGATAAATGCATGCTGAACTGCGGAACAGCAACATGTGCTATTGTGTTATCTGTAGTGGGGGGATTATTAGCTAAACGTGTTTGCATTTTGCTGATAAATATATAAATTGGCTTTTTGCTATATATGAGTTAAGCTTGGCGCTGGCACCTTTAAACGAAAACATTGTGACGTCACGAATGAATCGGCTAACTGGCAGCACTGTGCAAAATGGTGCTGCCATATCGCCGCACACACAAACAATCGTATTGCACAATAAACTCGAATTTTGTTAATTGAGCATCTCAAGACGTTGGAAAGTGCGTGCTGTTCGCGCCTCGAAGTAATTAAAACCATTCAACGTGCTGTATTAATGGAAAAAAATCATCAATTGAATTGAAATGAAGCTGCTGACAAATGTGCGCAAGCTGCTGCTGCGGTGCCGGCAGAGCCCAACGCTGCGGCCAATGACAAGAACAAAAACAACAACAACAACACAGGCACATGACGCAGCTGACGAACCGGCGCTAACCAGTGCACAGCTGGATGAGCTGGAGCAGAATGTGCAATTGCGACAGCACAAGAACAATGTGCCACGCATACGGCAGCTGGTGGAGGCACTGCGGCAGGGCGGGCAGACACAGGATGTGATACGCCAGCAGCTAGCGGCTGAGCTGCAGCAGCTGCCGAATGCTACGCATCCGCGCCTGCTTGCCTACGACAATCAACCGCTGGAGTTGGCCAACTATAAGCATCGTGTGCTGCCGCAACAAGGCGCCAAGGAGTTTTCGGAGCTGGCGCGTGCATTGAGTCTGTATCGCATGGAACACCTGGGCAACTATACGGGACACAAGAGCTACTACTTAACGGGTCAGCTGGCCATGCTGGAGCAGGCCATTATACAGTATGCGCTGCGGTCGCTCACCAGGCATGGCTTCAAGCTAATCTCTGTGCCCGACATACTGCCCAGGGAGATCATCGAGAGCTGCGGCATGCGCACCGAGGGCGAGCGCACACAGGTCTACAAATTGGACACGGACCAATGTCTATCGGGCACATCCGAAATGGCGCTCGCCGGCTTCTTTGCCAACAGGCAGCTAATGGAATGGGAGCTGCCAGTAAAAGTGGCCGCCGTGAGTCGTTGCTATCGTGCCGAGACGTCGGGTCTGCACGAGGAGAAGGGCATTTATCGGGTGCATCAGTTCACCAAGGTGGAAATGTTTGCCATTGCCACGCCCGAACAGTCCGAGCCAATGCTCGAAGAGTTCAAGAACATTGAAATTGATCTTTTCAAGCAGCTGGGCATCAATTTTCGACTGCTCGATATGCCGCCCTGTGAGCTGGGCGCGCCCGCCTATCAGAAATACGACATAGAAGCCTGGCTGCCGGGCCGCCAGATGTGGGGCGAAATTTCCAGCTGCAGCAACTGCACGGATTACCAGGCCAAGCGCCTAAATGTCAAGTACAATCGTGCCCGCGATGCAGCGCTTATCCATGCCCATACCCTCAATGGCACCGCAACGGCCATTCCCCGCCTGCTGATCGCTCTGGTTGAGTCGTATCAGAGCGCCGACTCCATACAGATACCCGAGGTGCTGGTGCCTTTTATGAATGGACAGCGCACGATTACAAAGAACAAAAAGATTCCCGAGACAAAGCTGGTCAAATTTATCAGGTCAGCCTAAAGATTTACAACCTTTTTCTAACAATTTGATATAAGAGATTAATAAAAAGAATAATATAAAGAGCGGACTCGGGATGATTGGAGTTATGTCAGATCTGCGGAAAACTTGGTTAGCGGAAGACCTTGCCGGATCTTAGGAAGCTGGGAAGATGCTGCAGGGATAAATGCAAAGAAGGCAAGCAGAGAGAGCATCTTACTAAGGCAGAAATGTTCGCCTGGTATCAGATCGCTTGTTTCTTTCCTTTCCTTTCCCTTACAGCCCCCCCTTATTCTTACTCTCTTACTGTAAGCCCAGCTGACGCTGAAAAGGTCAAGGTCAAGCTAAGTTGATTTATCTCAGCCATTATTTTCCGGCTTGCATCGGTTTCTGGACTTTCTATGTATTTGAAAAAGCGTTTATAATTTTGTTGCGTTTTTTTTTTAACTAATGCCAATGTTTGAGCTGGGCAATAAAAATATGCATTTATGTGTGTTATAGACACAGTAAAAAAAAATCACTATAAAGGGGCTTGTTGGAGCTGATCCCATTGATAAAGTAAAAAAAAATTGCAATAATCTAGCTCATTGTTAAACAATTGCGCACTTGTTGGATTGGCTTAATAGATAGAGTATATTGATGGGAGTTCAGGTTTTAAGAGCAGCTGTCGACCTTACTTACCCTTCAATGCCGCCAAAATATCTCATTTTAATTGTTGAACTTTTATTTGTTGTAGCCTCTTAACGGGGCACTCGATTAAATCCTGCAATTAAATAATAAAATATATGATTAACGCATTTTGTACTTCCTATCTGGCACACAATCTTATCGAGCAAAAAAACAATTTGCTGCTCTAAGCAAAGAATTTACGAATAAAAAAAATGAAAAACGAAAGTGTGCTATTTAGTGTATGTTGCATGTGCTCGAAGAATGGCCAGCATTTTGGCCAATTCCAAGAGAGTTCGCCACGATTATTGCAACAACAGCACAAAGCAGGTGAACGGGTGAGAGTGAGAGACAATAACAAAAACAAAAACAGCGAACCAGTTTACAAAACAAATTCCAATCACTTTTCAATTTTTTTTTTCTTTTGTAAACGTTGTTTTTTTTCGCTCATAAATTCAAAACGCGTTAGACTGAATGATAGGTTCACCCTAAACTTCAGCCAAAATTTTAATTGCACAAAAATTACTGTTTACACACACACACACACACATTCGCCTGCATTTACTGTACACATTTAGATATGCACACAAATGCATTGGGTTACAGGTACATACAACAGTTCTGGCAGTTAGGTTGCGGAATTTGTCATTTGATTCTTACCCGCTAACGGAGCAACTGTTACGGCTTTCACGTCCAGACGCTTTGATGCCCACACACAAAATATTGTTTTGAGACTGTTGCATTGTTATTTAAAGATTGGCGTCCGCCGCTGTGACCAGATGTTGTAACAGTAACAGTGCTGCAAAACATCAACAGTGTTTCGAGCTGCACATAGCGGTATTAACCCTCTGCATCGCAATGTTACCGACTGTTAATGTACATTATTGCTTTATTATTTCATATTATTGTTGTTTTTGCTTGCAATCAATACAAGGCCAAAAGTAAAATTAAGCTATGGATTATTCGAAAATCCAACACCTGTATTTAATTTTCTTAAATTTAATTTGGAGATATGTTTATGTTTGCGGGTATACAGGTGGCATCGAATGGCAGCCAGTGTTGAAAACAGTAAAAGAAAAAAATTTGAATTTCGATAAATGTATTTTGTTTGGAAAATGGGACATTATTTAGAACGATCACATTTACTTTTTGCTCTTATCTTTATCCTTATCCTTGATTGTGTATTTGTCGTAGGACTTGGTGGGATCATATGGCTCCCACCGACTGGCTGGGAATATGTGCTTGTTGCGCTCATACCATGAACGCAGCAGCACTTTGCCCGCATGCGATTCCTCCTTCTCGACGGAGGCGTCGCTTATCATGCGGACATCGTCGTGCACATCGAACTGGAAGAGCGGCCCGGATTTGCCGCGTGCCTTGGTCACAATGAAGTCGTAAAAGGAGTAATGATGCGGCAGTATCAAATCCTCCTTGACGTACATCAGTTGATCGGCCATCACGGTTTTCAGCTCGATGAACTCCTTGCGCAGCAGCTCCAGGCATTTCTGCAGAAACTGATAGATTGAGTTGCCCTTTTTCATGAGCACATTTCGCCTGTGGCCGGAACCGTCCCAGTAACTGAATGTGATTGAGATGTCCTCGTCTTTCAGCTCGGCCTGCTGCATAACCCATTCCTGACGCAGTTGTTCGCGCAATCGATTCTCCTGCTCCTCGCGATCGCGATCTGGCAGAAACGATGTGTCCACATCGGGATTTTTGCATATTTTCTTTTTCTTGACGGGCACCTCATCTTGCTGTAGATCGGTCCACTTGGCTGCCTTGGGCTTTACGAACTTGTTTTCCTCCAGATCATCTTCGTCTTCGCCCTGCTCTTCCTCGTCGTCGTCTAGATTAAAGGATAACGCTTGTATTTGTCGTTTCTGTTTGTTTTTTTCCGCTTGTATGGCTTCCAGGGCGCGTTGTTTCTCGCGATCCTTTTCATCTTTCTTTTGCGCTAGTTTCTTTTCACGTTCCCGCACGATGTCCTCCTGTTTGGCCTTCATCTCATCCAGCGTGACCAGGCCAATGGTCGACGACTTGAGCTGCTGCTCCACGGCATCGTAGTGCGTCGCAAACTTGTTCTCAATCTTATCCAGCTTCAGCTCCTCCTCAATTTTCTTTTTCCGAAACTCGATCTCCTGCTGCTGAATCTCGCGCTTCTTCATCAGCTGCGCAGCTCGCCCAGCCTCGCTGGCGGCACCTTTGTAGTGAGCCATGGCGTCAGATAACTTATTCGCTTTATTGTCTGGGCTTAAAAAAACAGTAAAATGGTATTTATTTTTATTTCTGCTTCTTTAAGCACGACAGTTGTTCTGCTTCTTCTACCCCAACAGATGTGTTTATTGAACCAGCTGTTATTTTACAGGTCAATAACAGAGTTGAATTAACATAGATCACTTTGAGTCAATTTTTGGAACTTTCGAAGCGGAACCGGAATCAATCACTATTTTGTTTTCGCTCCTAAGAACATTTTTAAATACACCCATTAAAAGATTATAAGAAATGTTTGGTACATTTATTCTTTTTTAATTACAGATTTAAGTATAAGTAATAGAAAGTCGGGATCTTACATAAAGTATTTGGAACAAGAGCTTTTGGTCCCAAAGCTCTCTCTGACTATGTGTTACTAAATACTTAATAGCTTCCCGGCATAGCTGAACGCTCATTTATTCAACTTGGAATATTCGGTCAGAACGGTTGTGTTAGCTGTTTGTATCGTTTCTTAATATTAAAACTCAAGTGGCATTTTGTCTATTAACTTTTTCTATTAATAATGGCTTGCACTAAGTTCTTGACACTAAACAATGGGGAGAAAATGCCTGTCATTGGCATTGGTACCTGGCAGGTAATCATTAATTAGCAGAGAGCTCGAGCTAGACTTTTCGTAATGTTGTGAAATTTAAATTAGTGCAACAAAATTTATCAAAGACAAAACATTGTGTGACTTCCTGTGATGCCAGATCGCTGCATACATACATATGTATTAAATCTTGTCGATCCGGCCGGATTCGACAGTGAGACTTGTTTACAGAGAAGAAAATCAGCATGACAAATTTATAGCCCCTTCAACTGCACTTAAGAGGTGTTGATATAATAAACCGCAATCTTAAATCACTTCTATTCCCACGCAGGCACCCGATGCCGAAATCGAACCCGCATTAGATATCGCCCTGGAGGCGGGCTACAGACACATCGACACAGCCCTTATCTATCGCAATGAGAAGGCAATTGGCCGTGTGCTCAAGCGCTGGCTGGATGCGGGCAAGGTAAAGCGGGAGGAGCTCTATATTGTCACCAAACTGCCACCCACTGGTAAGGCCCGAGGAGCAACTGAATAAATAAGTACAATCCGACATTAACTTTTTATTTCTCACAGCCATTCGGCCGCAGGATGTGGAGTCCACCTTTAAGCAGTCGCTGGCCAATATGCAGCTAGACTATGTGGACATGTATTTGATTCACACACCCTTTGCCCTGTTCGGGAATGCGGACGGCAGCTTTCAGTATGACGATGAGGGTCGCGTTAAGGTGGACAAGTCGACTAATCATGCCGCCGTCTGGGCGGAAATGGAGAAACTGGTCGCAAGTGGATTGACCAAATCGATTGGTGTCTCGAACTTTAGCAAGGAGCAGTTGGCACGTATCCTGCAGAACTGCAAAATACGTCCGGCCAACAATCAGATCGAGCATCATGTCTACCTGCAGCAACGGGATCTCGTTGATTTTTGTAAGGCGGAGAACGTGGTCGTTACCGCTTACTCGCCGCTCGGCTCCAAGGGTATTGCCAAGTTCAATGCGGCCCTTGGTATTGTGCGCGACCTCCCGGATCTGATGGACATACCCGAGGTCAAGGAGATTGCCGCCGCGCACAAGAAGACACCCGCCCAGGTGCTGTTGCGCTGGATCATTGACACGGACGTCGTGGCCATACCCAAAAGCACAAATGAGACGCGTCTCAAGCAAAACTTGGATGTGTTTGACTTCCAGCTGAGCGCCGAGGAGGTGGACAGGCTGTCGGCCCTGGACAAGAACATACGCGTTTGCGACTTCTCCACTATGCGCGGGTAAGTTCAACAATCATGAACCCAATTTAATAAGAAAATTAAACGCAAACTTCTTCCAGTGTGGAACAGCATCCGGAGTTTACCTTCAAGAACCAATACACCAATTAAAAGGAATTACATACATTTATAGTAAAACATAAAGTGCCGTTATTTAGCATACGACAACAAATAAATTCCAATTTTTGCTGATTCTCAGCGAGTCATACGGCTGCAACATTTTGTTGACTTTATTCCCATCGAAATGGGATTTATCGTTGTGTTCGTTAAATGAAACAAGTTTTGGACTAAAATGGGAATTTGAAAGTTAGCTTATTCGCTTTATTGTTATTTTTACAAATCTGTAAAATTGTATTTATTTTTATTTCTTCTTCTTTAAGCACTAGTGATGTTCTGCTTCTTCTACCGCGACGGATGTGTTTATTGACAAGCCGTTATTTACAGGCCAATAACAGCGTTAACTTAACAGCGGTCACTATGCGTCGATTTTTGGAACTTTGGGACCGAAACTGGAATCACTCACGTTTTTGTTTTTGTTCCAACACAGTTTTCCATATTCACTTATAAATATTTTGAAATATTAATATTTTTTCTGGTATATTTTTTTTATGGCTAATATTAGTCTGTTTAACATAAAACACTACCATATATTTATACCTATATAACATTTTTATACCCATATTTACATTGGCTGAAATGCACGCAATATTTTATTCCGGTTTCATAATAAAGTTCCAAAGATCGGTGCTAAATAACAGATGCTAACTATACATCAACTTAAGATAGAAGAAAGTTTTAGACAGAATTGATCAACACTGTTTATAAATAGCTTGAATAAATTCAACAAGAACTACGAAAGATGAGCCTAAAATTAATTCTAAAAACAAACTGTTCGTTGTTTGTGTAAATTTTTGTGTACAAAACAACACGATGAGGCCCACTGTTACTCAACAGATTGTTAAGCTTTAGTAATTGCCGGCAAAGCAAAACTCTCATTCATTCCACTTGGAATATTCAGTCGGAACGGTCGTGCTTGCTGCTGATATCGCTTCTTAATATTAAAACTCAACAAGTGGCAATTTTTGTTTAATTATTCGAATTAATAATGGCTTGCACTAAGTTCGTGACACTCAACAACGGAGAGAAAATGCCCGTCATTGGCATTGGCACCTGGCAGGTAAACATTAATCAGCTTTATTTAAAATTATACGTATATATATATGCTTATGCAGATATGCTGCGTACAATATTTATAAATACATATATATGTAAGCATATACATAAATATATAATATAAGTATGTATATTGATTATTTAGAGGAGAGTTGAAGGGGGCTTCATCAAATGTTTGCCCAGGGACCGGTTCTGGTTGACTGTAAACAAATTGAACCTTTGTGGGAAAAGTACAATGGTTCGACTTTCTCCAGATATAAAAGAGCAGAACAGACAATCAACTTTTATTGTTTGTGGTTAATTCAAAGATATATGAAGACTCTAGACACTTGAGATAATGGCAAAGAACGTAGAGTTGTTTGCAGAACGCCGACAACTAAATACCCTTGCACACAGACATATTATATATATGTCTATAAGAAAACTATCTTTATGCTAGAGTATGCGGATTTAGTAGAAGAATATTGAAGCTCTCCATTTCTGAGTTTGGCTAAGAAATCTGTACAAGACTGGATTTTAGAGCAACAGGAATTCCGGCAACTCTATGATATGGTTATCCGATCCAGCCGAGCTGGACATAGAGACTTTTCATTGTATATATGTTATGTACATCCAAATTTATAAGCCCCTTCAACTGCACTTAAGAGCTTTTCATATAATAAACCGCAATCTTTAAATCACTCCAATTCCCACACACACAGGCACCCGATGACGAAATCGAAACCGCATTAGATGTCGCCCTGGCGGCGGGCTACAGACACATCGACACGGCGCCAGTCTACGGTAATGAGAAGGCAATTGGACGCGTGCTCAAGCGCTGGCTGGATGCGGGCAAAGTGAAGCGCGAGGAGCTGTATATTGTCACCAAACTGCCGCCCATTGGTAAGGCCTGAACACTCTCCTTAAATAAATACAATTCAATGTTATCTTTTTATTTCCCGCAGCTAATCGGCCGCATGAGGTGGAGCCCACCATTAAGCAGTCACTGGCCGACCTGCAGCTGGATTATGTGGACATGTATCTGGTTCATACACCCTTTACCGTATTCATCAATCCGGATGGCAGCTTTCAGTATGACGATGAGGGTCGCGTTAAGGTGGACAAGTCGACGAATCATGCCGCCGTTTGGGCGGAAATGGAAAAACTGGTCGCAAGTGGATTGACCAAATCGATTGGCGTGTCGAACTTTAGCAAGGAGCAAGTAGCACGTCTCCTGCAAAACTGCAAAATACGTCCGGCCAACAATCAGATCGAGCATCATGTCTACCTGCAGCAACGGGATCTTGTTGACTTTTGCAAAGCGGAGAACGTGGTAGTTACCGCTTATTCGCCGCTCGGCTCCAAGGGTATTGCCAAGTTCAATACTGCCGCCGGTGTTGTGAGGGATTTGCCGGATCTGATGGACATACCCGAGGTCAAGGAGATTGCCGCCGCACACAAGAAGACACCCGCCCAGGTGCTGCTGCGCTGGATCATCGACACGGGCGTCGTGGCCATACCGAAGAGCACAAATGAGGCGCGTCTCAAGCAAAACTTGGATGTGTTTGACTTCCAGCTGAGCGCCGAGGAGGTAGCCAGGCTGTCGGCCTTGGACAAGAATATACGCATTTGCGACTTTTCCTTTTTCCGCGGGTAAGCTCGGCAATTATAAACCTTAACAAAAAACAATGCTAAACGCAAATTTCTTGCAGTGTGGAGCAACATCCGGAGTTCACTTTCAAGAACCAATTCACCAATTAGAAGAAAAAACAATTATATTAAAACATCAAGAGTGCCGCTATTTTCAAACAATAAAAAGCAAAATTCCAAATATTTAACTACTTTTCAGCGAGTCCAACGGCTGCAACATTCTGGTTATAATTTTCATTACAACAGGTTTTCCGACACGCTTTTCCCTGCAGCTGGGCGTGGCCTTTTCGACTTGTTGCCCATCGAGATGGGATTTCTCGTTGTGTTCGTTTAATGAATCAAGTTTTGGACTAAAAAGAGAATCGGAAAATTAACCGGGCTCTAATACAGTGCTCGCTCGTTAAATAGAATTGCTTAGACACAAGAACTGAAATCTTTTCGTCTTAAACAAGTCTCGAATTAAATGTTTGTATCAATAGGAAAATAGTTTTTAAATTTCTATTGTTTTTATATGCCACTTAAAGCTATTATTTTTTTTACTTTATGCACTTCAGTTCCAACTAGCGAGCGAGCACTATAATTTTGTGTATTTGTTAGTACGTAATGACATTTATTTGCAATAAAGTTTTAAACATAAGCTTAAACAAATCACATGTGTAGCGAGCACAAAGTTAGGTACGAACTGGCATGAGGAAACCGGTTGACGGTTTTTAAAGTCAAGCTTAGACTAAATGACTCTTTATACAAAACAAGCGAAGTGTTATGTGATATAAAAACTATTACTAGAAAGCTAACATCGGTCACAACGAAGCGTATATACCCTTGGCAAGCACTAAGAGACAATTATTGTTTCTGCTCCCTTTATATAAATATATACTCCAAAGGAAGCATAAACAAGAATTTAATAAATACAGCCACTAAGTGGCGAGATATTAGGAGATTGTTGGACCTGTTCAGAGAAAACAATACAAACTTTTGTAGAGTATGCACTATTCGCTTATGCCAAAAGAAATTTAAGTTATAGTAATGCTTGGCAAGGGTATATAAACTTAGTTAAATACATTAGTTTGAATACACAGCTTTTAGTGACGGAATCAATTGTTTGCATACTTAAAAATTTAGTACAAAAATATAAACAAAAGCGACTCGAATCAAATACTAAAAAAAGAAGTATGAAAAAACGTGAAAACTGAAAAATTTTCTTAGCTTGGCTAAATGCTTGACATTCATTAGTTAGTTAGTTGGGCCAGACAAGCTCGGAAACTTGTTAGATTTGCATTTCGAGTATTGAAAGAAATTCGCAGTTGTTGGAGCCAGATCCTTTGAAGCCATGCGGACGACTCACGTGGTGCGCGTCTCCTCATCCGAGCTGCGTCTGCAAAGAACAAAGTTTGTTATAATAAATTGTTGTTCTCAATGTATACACAATTAGGTGCTCTCTAGTCAAGATTGCCCGACTCTGAGATCAAGGGGTGAAGGTTAAAATTATAATAAACTAAGACTTACTCATATGCTTCCGGCCGCAGAGTTTGCGATATAAATAAATTTCTTAACTTGCATGCAAAAAGCTAGCGCCAAACATACCTGGGCTCCTGATTCGTGCGCATGGCCAGGGTGGCCACTTCGAAGAGGCCAATGAAGAAGCAGAGCATCAGGGGGCCAAAGATGGCGCCCTGCCAGCCAATCCAGTACATGCCGCCCGCTATGGCCAGGCCATTGAGGTAGGGATGGCCCCCACTGCAAGGATTTGTGTAAGTTGTATGCGTTTTTAACATGATATGACGCACTTACCCCTTAATGTCCGCATAGATGGCGGTCTCGAAGGACGAGGGTACAAAGAATTGTAAAAGGAACAGTATCAATCCCGCATAGAAGCGATCCTGTGCCAGCCAGAGCTCCAAAAAGGCAGGCACCGCACACCAGTAGCTGCCCAAAAATGGAGCAGCCGCCAGCAGAGCAGCCAAAGCGGAGGGCAGGAAGACAATCCGAGCGCCAAACACCGTATGCACCAGCCAGGTGAAGAGACCCGTAAACGTGGAGCACTTGAACATGGAGACGAGCACAACCGTAATTGAGTTCTCCAAGGCATCAGCGACTTTAATGCCCGAGGCAGAGTAACCCATATATTTGGTGATCTGCATGGGCGCATACTTCTCCTGACTGCTGGACAGCAGATAGAACAAGGCCGTGAAGAACACAATCTAAGGATGAAGAGGAATTTATTTTGTAATCGGATTTGTATGTGATCCTTTGATTCTTACCATGTCCAATATGAACTCAATGCACGCCTGTCCGCCGGATAGCAGCAGCGATAGTATCTCGCCCGTAACGCCCATTATCATTGAGAGATTCGTGCGTATAATGTGCCACAGAGATTCGGCAACCTCAAGGATGGTCTGCGTATTGCTCTGCGCCCAGCCGATGATGCCCTGTTTTGCCACTAAAACTAGCTCTTTAAAATGTCCTTGGTTAAAATAAAACCATGGGTTAGCAAAGGCAACATGTAATGAGTTATTTGTTCTGACGCATACGATAAATCATACGGGATGGGTGTGTTAAGGCCAAACTGAGCTGTGTTAGGAGCTCTACAATAAATATATAACTCAAAAACTCAAAACATACAGAAACGTTGGACAAATGAAATCTAAAAAACCATAAACCGCGTCGCGCACTTACCTGGATTATCGACAATCTCACCGAAGGTGCTTTTCAGCGCATCCGTGGGCACGCGCGGCCCGTACGAGGTGCCCGCCTTGTTGAAGTCAATCCAATACTGTATGAGCCTGTCCCAGACATCGAGAATTTGTTCCTTTAATTTGGTGGCATGCACCTTGTCGGCATCGGCTAGCCAATCATCTATATAGGTCTCAATCTTACGGCGACCATAATGATGCGCATTGTCGAGCGCATCATCAATGGACGCCTGTATATTGGCGGGCAATATATCAATTAGCTCAGGACGATCTGTGATTGTCTTGTTAATTAGATCTTTGCCCAGATACGCGACCTCAATCGTCTCCGAATAGATGTTAACGCAAAAGAAAACACTCAGAAAGATGATGATGAGCAGCATGAGTATGATCATTAGAATGGATGTGACAGACTCCACAGATGACTTAAGCGAATCCCGCACAATGCAGTTGATCTTGTAGTTGAGCTCCAGAACGCCCGGCAGGCACAGCGGCAGCACAGCCGAATGATGCTCCAAGGCCCACGACTGCGGAAGAGTATATAGTAGAGTATAGATATACAGAGTTAACGGGGGCTCTTACCCTCACGCCCCGATAGGCATCGTCGAGCTTGCCGCAGACAAACTGGGTTAGGCCCGTATAGCTGCCCGCAGTGTACAATAAATGCAGAAACACCGGCACCGCAGCCAGTATAAACATCCAAATGTTGCGATACAAAAAGGTGCCAAGGCAGGCATAAAATAACAGCTTAAAGTAGGTATCGCTCTGGTGTACCTCTGGCTCCTCCGCCAGCTTGGCATCGAAAGTGTCCTCGGAATCTATAGTGTCACTCAACGAAATGTCCTCCACATCGGATTGCAATGTCGGCTCGCCAGCAGCTCGGCGACAAATGCTGAGATTGCTCAGAGATTTCTCGAAATCATTTTTATTGAACAGCTTCTGCAGGCGCTCCAAATAGGAGCTGGCGTCATGATCATCACTCGTCTGCAGATGATACGCCGTGGAGACAAGCACGTAGCCCATGACCAGCAGGAAAACAGGCACCTGAAACGCGCCCAGAAAACTGCACAAATAGCCGGCAATGGCTATCCACATGGACTGGCCGGCGACAACGAAACGTGCGCTATTCTCTGGCTTCCAGAAAAAGTGCACCGAGGACAAGTATATGGCAATCAAAACGATAAGCTGTAAGTGAGGACAAGTGTGGGTTAAGATGCACCTGCGAGGAGTATGTCAAAGCACTTACCACATACACATTGAGGAAGCCAATGATGCGCACGAACAGGCCGTGCGAAAAGGTCAGCCAGTTCCAGAGCAACAACAGGCAGCCTTTGGGCGCATACAAAACAAGAAGCTTGACGCAGACGGCAACGCCGCAGCCGGCTATGAGGAGCTGCCAGTGCTGGCACAGCCAGTTGATGAGCAAGCGACCGCAATGCTCGGTAGCCTCCAGTGGAGCCAGGCAAATGGAGACGATCACATTCGAATCGCGCTCCTCGAGGCGCTGGAACCAATTGTTCAGCAGTTCGGCCAGTTTGCGTTTGAATGGGAATAGCACCGCGCCCATGAGGAAGGCCCAGAGCAGCGGACGCACAAAGGGGCCCAGGATGAAGCAGACGGCCACAAAAGCGGCCACGCCCGCTGCAATTAGAAAATTGTACATGGCAGCCCGGAAGCCCTCATGATTCTGTGACCGAATCCTAAGCAGGCGATTGAGAACGCTGTCAAAGGAGCGATCACGCCGTATGGGTATAGAATCCGAGCGGTTCATCTTGAGAAAAGGTCACACGCAACGAGGAACTGAAAACGGGTTGATGCGAAAAAATTAGGCAAATGCTTTGACCATGCTGCGGCAGCTGACACGCCCGTATATGTGCATATTTTTAGCCAAATGAGTCGACTTACAATTATTATTGTTTAAATCTGAAATAGGGTTGATGAATACAGCTCCTTTGCATTTTCGGGAGATATTTATGGGCGTTGGGATTGTGCCGGCGTTACAATTTTTATATGCTCATTCACACAATGTTTTTATATTAATTTTGGCACATAAACAAAAAGCAATCTTGTTTATTTTTATGGGCAAATGACGTCAGCTGACGACGCAGTGTTGTTAGCTGACTAAAAACAGTATCACTTTACAACACTAACGCGCATTCGAAAAAAAACGGGACGCCGAACAAAATAGACGCCATGCAAAGTGAGTAAAACGAAATAAACATCAAACAATTAATTAAAAACTATTTGGTTCAGAACTAACATTACAGCAAGTACATGCCTTGCGCAAGGCACAGGAAGATTTAATTTTTAGCAAAGCCATCTACCTGGAATTTTACCCAAAAATGGCCAAACATGCCTACACAACGGAGCTCAATAATTTGGTAGTAAAATTTGCTTTGTACTAATAATTATAATTTGAACTATACGCCTTTTATATTCGCAGATACGCGGCGATTTCAGCCGTGTTGAAGTGGAGCTGAACATACCCAAATTGCCGCCACAGCACAAAGAGCAGGAAGAATACACACCCATGCTACAGGTAAGCGTACATATGTATATTGAATCTTTGGCTGGAATTGAAAATAAATATAAACTGTCTTAATTATAGCTGGACAAATTAATGGAATACTACGATGCAACCGTTGATGGCATATCCCTATTGCAAGCGTGATCCGATCTACCACGACTATTATTCAGCCAGTAGGCATGTAAAATGCGTTGAATATGCTGCAGGCACTCGAAAGGAGGTGACAGGCTCTGTAAAATATCAAACTTGATCAAGTTATCCGTATATTCCAATACGCAGGACTCACATTGAATAGCGGTATAATGGGCCGCTCTTTAAACATGCTGCCCTTTGTGCGCAGTATTAGCATATACTTTATATCTAGCTGTAAGTTAAGTAAAGCCTTTGAATAAATCTAAGAAATAGGGTAACGCAAGCCAATCTCACATTCTCTATGACCTCGTTGAGCACCATGTCATGGAGATGACCGCGTTGTACACAGAGCACCGATTGGCGTCCAAAAGTGCGCACCGTTTCCGTCTGCAGAGCCATGTCCCAGCTGTAGAAGAGTTTCTCGGAGTGCACTAGTTGGAGCGTGTTGCGGAATATCAAAGCAGACAGAGCAAGCCATAGCAGGCCCGGATATAATATATGGGCTTGCCCCATCCTGGTCGGGCCTTCGCTTAGGGCCAGAGCAAACCCAAAGTAAACAGTCGCCAAACCCAATAGCCCAAAGAAACGTTTCAGTTGCGCTCTACATTGTTCGCCATGCAGACGGTTTAATAACTGTATGCGAACAACGTCTTCGCCGTATTTCTGAACGGTTAGCTCTAGATCCTCCACTACGCTGCCTTTATATATGGCTGTCTTGCTAAAGTATCTGTGCCGACTCGGTTCCATTATGGATTTGCTCAAACAAATAAATAAATAAAATCGGCAAACGGCAGCCTACAACACTAACGGCAACTATTGTGCAGCACTGTTTGACACATTGGTCATACTTTTGTTTACATTTGTGCATCGATAGAAAGATGTATATCGATTGTTGTATCGATGTGTACAAAAAACAATATGGCGTCTGCACAGCACAAAATCGTCTTCGTCTCGGTTGGAACAGCGTCCGTTCCGCGAAAAATTTTAAAATAATAATTGAACCGTAAATGTATGGTAAATAAGGTGTTGGAAACAGTAAATATGCGCAAACGCAAATTGTATATACTTTGAAAAATTCTGAAAAGGCGCTGCCAACAGCATAAACAAGGAATTGCAACGTGAGTGCATACATTTTTTGGTCAAGATTCAATATTACCCCTCGCGCTTTCGCTTACACCGCTGTTGCCCTCTTGCGGCTTCTGTGTCTAAGCTTGTGTGTGTGTGTGTGTGTGTGTGTATGTGCGTTTAGGTGTGCATGTGTATTTTTCGTGTGTAACTATACTTGATTCTGATGTACTTCTAAATACGAGTATTTAACGCGTTCGTAAAATAATAAACTACCTATAAACTTTGGCTAGGTCCTGCGACTGCGTGAACATTGCACATTTGGAGGTAAAAATGTTTTTATTTATGGACTCGAACTCGTACTTTATGCAACAAAACGGCGTGTTGAGTTTTTGGTTCTTCTATTTTGTAGTGTGTTGAATTTGAGGATTGCCGCTGTTACTTGTGGTGGATTTTGCGCTCGCCGTACTTCTCCGTTTCATTGTGTACGTGACGGCTCTGTGTGGTTTGCGTGGTGTGTACCCGTTGTTTTTATAAATCTTGTGTGCGTTTAATTAATTCGTAAACGTATACAGCTAACGTAAAATGTAACAAATGAAATTGGATTATCGCAAAATCAAAACAAAATCATTGCAAATAATGAATGCGTCATTCACATTTGTCGAGGCGATGTGTGTTTCCGTGAGTGTTTGTGTGTGTGCGTGAAAAAGTGCGAGTGTAGACGGCATTTTTCTTTAGGCATGCTCTTTGCCAGATATACGCTGCAATTTTTTTGCAATTCTGTTTTGTGCTTGTCATTCGCAATAATTTAGTGAATGAAAGCAAAAGAAACGGGCCGAAAAACGATGTACTCACCAGACGGCTGTTGTGTGTGTGCGTATGTGTGTGTGTATTTCGAACACTTGCGTTTCAGAAAATTGAATGTCAAAAGCAAATTTTTTTTCGCAACTGCTTGCTTTTTTGAATTACCGAACTCGGGACATACACACACACACACACACACGCACACAAACATAAAAATACATGCATGCACATTCATGCTCATATTCAGAGTCTTCTGCCCACCCCAAAATGTGCATGCAAAACACACCAGCACAAATACATATGCGCGCGTATTCTGCATACATCGCAGCAGATACAACGCGTTCGTTTTCTTACAGCTTTTGCTGGCCATTGTGTGAGATCCATCGCGCGCGCACACACACACACACATACAGATTGGTGCGTCTCCAGCGTATTCATGGCGTATTGTCATTGTCCTGTATGCTTTGGCTTTCCTGTTGGCTTATATATTATTTTTCCTGTTTCGTTTGCGCGTACGCATCACACATACACACACCTCCACAGTTTGCGCCTCCTGCCTCGCCCCTTTTTTTTTTGTGCCACTTGCAGGCAGCGTCAATATTTTTCATTTGGTTTTATTGCCATTGTGCGCTTGCCTTTTTTTGACAGCGACATCAGCGGCCGCTCTCCCGTTCCCATTTCAATAAGCGCTGCGCTCTCAGCGGCTGGGCCATACTTTAACTTGAACTCTGTTGCTGGGCGACAAATGTGTACTTTTTTTTTTTTTTCTTCTTTTCGTATCTCTTTGCGGCGAAGCGTGTGGTAATTATCGCCTTTGACCAATTTCTTTTTTTTCGATGTTTATCAATGATCATCCTAGACGAGTTGGCTGCCCACGCAGTTTTGCCAGACATTGAACCTAGCTGCATATATACATATGTATGTACATACAAATGCACGCGTATATGCATGTATGTGTGTCGTTCTGAGTAATTTATTTTTAACTCTTTTTTTTTTTTGAGTTTAAAAACAGCGTTTGTTGCGTAAATGGCCGCAATGTGTATTAGCATTTGTTTTTAATTGCTGCTTTTGTTTTGATACACATTCGTGAGAGGCGAAATATGTATACACGTAGATTAGAGTGCGCCTTATCAGCGAGGCCGGCGAGGGGTGCCGCATTGCAATTGTTGAAATGTTCACATTGTTTTACATAATATATACAAAAAAAAATACCTATGTTATTAATTTTATTAAAACATATTATAAGTAATCATGAATGCCTTTTTTCGCCCACACGGAGTAGCCTATCTGTGTGTGTGTGTGTGTGTGTGTGTGTGTGTGTGGTGAAATAACTTAACACGCATTTGAAGCGCAGCCTTGGCGCCGTTGCAAATTGTATTGAAACGTTTTTGAGTACTGGCCAAAGGTGGATTTCCTCAGTTTCCTCTATCGATGACGTAGACCTTGTCTCTATGATATTACTATGAGCTAAATATCTGTTCTGTTTACACACTTTATTTTACACTTGCTCATTGATTTTTGTTGCCTTGTGCTGTGCGTACGGCGTACGTTGTAGCAACAGTGCTTGTGCGTGTGCGTGTGTGTGTTTGATAATCTAATCTAGTCGCCGCAAATTGCCCCCGCTAGCCGGCCGTCACCCACTGGCTATATACGTATACAATGTATATGTACTGGCAGACTCTTGTGCTCAGTTTGCTCTCTTTCTCCGGGTCTGACCACTCATTTTGTTTGTTTTTGTCGCGCGCGTGTTTGCACTCGTCGCCGTTGTGGGTCGCTTTGGCGAAAGCGCGATAATAGTTTGCAATGGTGTAGACTTCACAAATCATTCACACACAAATGCATGGTGCGTTGTGGAGAGATTTGAAAGTTTTTGTGTTTCCACTTAGAACGAGCTAAATTCAAGCTCAATAAGCTTATGTTACAGACACAAGCATCGAGTTATTAAAGTGATCTTTGCCACTTACTTTCTCTCTCAAAAGGGATGTATTTTAGTTCTTCCTCATTTGCCCATTTTCTCGCTCTCTCGTGGTACACGGTATTTGCTATTCGAACACTCTCGGCTAGAGACTACATGTTTTTTCTTGCTGTTTGTAAACAGACTGGGGCAAGAATAGTTTTTGGCATTTCGCTTTGCCGAATAGTTTGTATTGCTGTACACACACACACACACATGCAAACAGACTCACGCACACACACATACACAGTCGCATACATGCATAAATGCAGCAACATCAAACGTAGCTTTCACAATTTCATTCATGGTGTACGCTTTTTGCAGCTTCTGTTTTGATACGCATTTATTGTTATCGTGTCTGTGTGTGTATGAGTATAACATATATAAATATACATATGTATGGAATTACTCATTATGCTTTTTGGACAGTGCTGTAAAACAATAAAAATATCTACTCAAATCGATTGAGATTGCGTTATGAGTGGAAATGTGTATAATTGTGAGAAATATCGATATATTTCGTTAAATGACTCAACATTCAAACCCATGAACTACGTATAAAACATATTAATGCTAACAATTCTAATTAGTGCACGGATCAATAAAATATTTCTTGTTTCTTTATTTTCATATTGTTTTCAGTTTTGTTGTGCGCAGACCACAGATAACAGCACATAAACACATAACATGGATATGCAAGTCAAGTGTAGAGATTAGTTGAATGCTTTGAATTTCAAATTCAATATACTAAATTAACTGTAATTAGTCTAGTTGACTAGCCCCAAGCGCGGCTACAAGCCAGCCACAATAATTAGCAGGCACAACCCAAGAGAAGTTTTTAAACGTAAACTTTTTGTGCAACCACAACAACAAAAACAACAACAACAATCTACAACAACAAGAAGAGAGTGAGGAAGGAAAGGACACACATTACACCTAAGGCCAAACCATGACGACTGACACCCGCCGACGTGTTAAGCTTTATGCGCTGAATGCAGAGCGCCAATGGGATGATCGTGGCACTGGCCATGTCTCTTCCACGTATGTGGAGCGTCTCAAGGGCACTTCGCTGCTGGTTCGTGCCGAATCAGATGGTTCCTTATTGCTGGAGAGTAAGATTCAGCCAGATACCGCCTATCAGAAGCAACAGGATACGCTGATTGTCTGGTCGGAGGGCGATAATTTTGATCTGGCGCTGAGTTTTCAGGAGAAAGCCGGTTGTGATGAGATATGGGAGAAGATATGTCAGGTATTTATTATAATTTCCTCAATATCAAATTCGCTTAGATGATCAACATTCGATATCGGATTGCTGTGTACAGGTGCAGGGCAAGGATCCATCCGTGGAGATTACGCAGGACATTGTCGAAGAGTCAGAGGATGAACGTTTTGAGGATATGTCGGATACAGCACCGCCAATTGAGTTGCCGCCATGCGAACTGTCACGGCTCGAGGACATATCCGAGACAATACAAAGTTGCCTTTCGACGCCGCTGCGCAAGGAGAAGCTCTCCATGGCCCTGGAATCGGAGAACTACATTAAAAAGCTTTTGAATCTGTTTCATGTTTGCGAAGATCTCGATAATACGGAAGGGTTGCATCATCTCTTCGAGATATTTAAGAACATTTTCTTGCTAAACAAGAACGCGCTCTTTGAGATTATGTTTGCGGACGATACTATCTTCGATGTCGTCGGCTGCCTGGAGTATGATCCTAGTGTGGCACAGCCGAAAAAGCATCGCCAATATCTCAAACAATGGGCCAAGTTTCGGGAAGCTGTACCAATCAAGAACATGGATCTGTTGGCCAAAATTCATCAAACATTTCGTGTGCAGTACATTCAGGACATTATATTGCCTACGCCGTCTGTCTTTGTCGAGGATAATATGTTGAACACGTTATCAAGTTTTATATTCTTCAACAAAGTTGAGATTGTTACGCTCATCCAGGAGGATGAACGTTTTCTGCTTGACCTATTCACCCTGCTCACGGATCCGGCAACTGGCGATGTTAAACGGCGTGATATCGTACTATTTCTGAAAGAGTTTTGCAATTTCGCGCAAAACTTACAGCCCCAGGGCAAGGATTCGTTTTACAAAACACTCACCTGCCTGGGCATATTGCAGGCCCTCGAGCTGACGCTAGTTATGAACGACAATAAAACCAAGTCGGCATCCATTGACATACTCACGGCCATTGTCGAGTTCTCGCCGTTGGTGGTGCGCAATTATACACTGAATCAAGCCAATCGGCCGGAGGGCGTAAGTGAAACGAGTCGTAAATATTTCACCACAGTCAGCTGATTTTTTTATTGTTTTTTATGCTTTTTTAGGAGCGAATGTTGCTGAACATTGCCATTGAACAAATGTTGAACGATTCGGAACCAGAGCTGGGCATTGCGGTGCAGTTGATGGGCATCATTAAGATACTGCTCGAGCCGGAAAATATGCTGACTGAGAAGGGCGATTTCCTCAACTTTTTCTATAAGTTTAGCGTCCAAACGCTAGTAGGTAAATAGTCCAACAACCATAATGCGATTGTATCAAGCAGATTTTTAATCATATATATATATATATGTATTTTTTTTTTTAACTTAGCGCCTCTGATGCTCAATACGATGGGGGATCGTCCACAGAACGAGGATTATCAGACGGCCCAGTTGTTGGGCATTGTGTTGGACATCTTGTCGTTTTGCGTTGAACACCACAGCTATCATATTAAGAATTTTTTGCTGCAAAAAGATCTCCTCAAACGAATTCTGGTGCTGATGAAGAGCACACATACGTTCCTTGTACTTGGCGCCCTGCGGCTGCTACGCAAGATAATTGCACTTAAAGATGAGTTTTATAACAGGTGTGTGTAAAGCTTGACAGTTTTCTTATATGATGGATTTTAAATTTGATCTTGACTTCTTGCTGATTTTAGGCACATTGTCAAGTGCAATCTATTTGCGCCCGTTGTGGATGCCTTTATTCGTAACAATGGTCGCTATAATCTGCTCGAATCGGCCATTCTGGAGCTATTTGAGTTTATAAAACTCGAGGATATACGTACGCTGTGCGTATACTTCGTGGAGAACTTTAGCAAGATATTTGATGAAATCGAATATGTGCAAACATTTAAATACCTAAAGAATCGTTATGATCAATACCAGGATCGGCTCAAGGATCGCGACAAGTTAGAAAATCGCACAGATGGGTAAATTTTTAATCTATTATTTACCCCCACAAATGCTTATAATACTCTCTGGCATAAATCCGATAGAAGTTTGCCCATGATACGCAGCGGCAATCGTTTTCGTCGCGATCAGCGCCAGATGGAGGAGGAGGAGGAGATGTGGTTTAATGATGATGATGACTTTTCCGAGGAAATCGATAGCTATAACAATGTCATGAAATGTAAGTGGATCAATGGATTAATTAGCTCGAATTTGTGTTTATTAATTTACTACCTTTCGATTGCGTCTTGCACAGCCGTCAGCGAAAAAAATGGCCCGCAGCAAACACAAAATCAGACGGCGCAGCAAAAATCTTCGCCGCCGCACAGTACATCACCGCACGGCGGTGGTCTGTTGGGCAATCTGAATTCCACAGCGACAGCAACTGCCACCTCAGTATCAGCGCCGGCGGCAAGTGGCAGCAGCAGCAGCCCCGAGGCGACGAGCAACTCCGCCGCCGCTGCCGATGAGCAGGCCCAGGCCGCAGTGCAGCTGGCCGCCGCTGCCAACATTGCATTGCAGCAGCAACAGCAGCAGCAGCATCCATTCCAGCAACAGCAAACTTTGTCCCTGAATAGCACACTTGTGGCAGCGGCCGCTGCTGCTGCTGTCGCCTCCACATCGAATGCGGCTGCTGCGGCGCAGCTGGAAAGTCAACAACTGCAGCATCAACAACAGCAACAACAGCAGCAGCAACAGCAGCAGCCTCAGCCGGAGATTGCAGAGCTGCAGCAGCAGCTGAGCGCTGTGGTGCCACAGAATCCGGAGATGGTGCTGTCAACCGCCAACTCTGCGGCAGCAAATGCATCCTCTTCATCGTCGTCGTCCTCTTCGTTATCTTCATCATCGTCGTCATCGTCATCGTCGTCATCATCATCAATGGAAGCGTCCACGTTGTCGTCAACACCGCCGCCGACAACATCTTTGCCAGCCGCCGCACTGTGCGATTCGGCGACAGTGGCCGCCGTGGCGGCATCTCAATTTTTGACAACGATTGCAACAGCCATGGCTTCGGTGACGGCAGCAGCTGCTACTGGCACGCCTAATTTAACGACAGTTGCTGTGTCCAGTGAGGACAGCAGCGAGCCGCAGCCGCAGACACAACCACAGCCACCTGCCACAGAAGCCAACGATGCGCTTAAACTGGATGGGGAAAAGACGGCGCTCAGCGCAGAATCGCCAACGGGCGGCAGCGACGCGGACAAGGCGACCAAAAAGGTAAGCTGAACGAGGAAGTGAAAGCCTGCAAAAATTGTGAACTAAATATGCTTGTTGTCCTTGAAGGGACTGGTCGACTATGAGAGCGATTCTGGTGAAGATGACTACGAGGAGGACGAGGACTCGGATGGGCCCCACGCACAAAAGCGCGCCCGTATTGCATAGTAAGGGGCGTTTAGCACAGCGGCATCAATTATAAAATAGTACACACACACATAACCACACATCCAATTCTCACACAAACACACACACACACACACACACACTCACCAGCGAATGCAAGGGTTGAAGAGTGGGCGGAGCAGCAGCAGCAACAATTGTCAGCCAAGCATAGAGCGGTACGATGTAAGATCGAACAAGAACAAGGAACAACAACAACAACAAAAACAAGAGGCCCGGGTAGAGTTCGGAAGGCTCCCAGATGATGGGGACGCGTTTTGCTTGTAAGCGATCATGTAAGAAGAAGAACAAGCAACAAAATATAAAATTAAATTTTAGCCTAAAATCATTTATTTTAAAGAAAGCAAATCCGAAAGCTAAAAAGTAAAACAAGAAATTATAAAATCTTACTTTACTAAATTAAACAAAATATATATGTAACAAATATATATATATATATACAATATATATATACATATATATATATATATATATATGAATATGAATATAACTTATAGGGTATATATAAATATATACATATAGATATATATATATATGTATATTTATATATATATTACGTGCACACAATAGCAAAACGCACTTATTGATCAAGAAGAAGAACAAGCAACGTTAATTGCCGTTGTGTGTGCTTAAAAATAAAAAAACAAAAACATTGAAAAGAAACCAATAGGTTAAACTAAATGGCAGCAGCGCAAGACAGCAAAAAAAAAAAAAGATAAAATAAAATAAAAAAAAAAGGAGAAGAGTGTTTAGGTTCGGTGCTTGAGTTGTCGCTCAATAGGCTCACAGATAGACGACCCCCTAAAAAAACAAAGCTTGTTTAGTTGGCTGCGCCAGTAGATGTTGTGTGGAAGAGTATCTGAATATTTTGTGCAATATCAAAAGTTGTGGCTAATTCGAAAGTAATTGTTATATTTATACCCTATTTTGTGTGTCAAATGTAAAACAGAGTTTAAATCTATTAACTAACAGATGTTAAGCTGATGCTGTTAATGTTGCTACATAAATAACAGCTGTTAAGTTGATGCTGTCTATGTTGCTGCATTAACATATGACAAACAGAAGCTGCCTATGTTATAACATAGCCGAAATATGTTAAACAGAAACTGTTAATATTTTACAATTCAGTTTTGTAATGATTAGCTGTTTATGGCTCACAGATGTTAATCAGACCGCGTTTTATTCTAACAGCAGCTGTCTATGTTTAATTAACATATCTTAAGCAGTTGCTGTTATATGGCTAACAGCTGTATAAGGTCAGCATCATCTGAAGAAATTTGACTGCTAAAAAGACTTTCTTAAGATTAAAGTAAACTTTTTTTTTTTTATCTCGGAATTAGTTGTAAACCTTAAACTTTATAGATAATTTTGTATACCCACAATTTTTAGCCATTCAAAGCGGGCTAAAACATTGTTGTAGATACAAATTGAATACATTTATATAATATTTAATTGCCTATGCTTCCTCCATTAAGTTAAACAATTGCTTTTCGAATGCCACAGCTTGACCCAAAGCCAACTCAACAAATTTTGTTTTGCGCATTCACAAGTTTTAGCCATATATGTAAAATGCCCAATTGAACGATACAAATGGATTAAATTAAATAAACCTTGTATATAATTTAGCGTTATATCGAATTACAAGCTACTTTATAAAATATGAAAATTTGATTATGATTCGACAGGCGTGACGATTTGTAAAATAGCAAAAACGGTGGAAACGATTTTTTTTCTAGCAAACAACAACTTGTCCTTATGAAAAAACTAGGCAGCAAAAAATATTTTCTAATTTGTTAAGTCAACCGAGATGCTGCGCCACAATTTTGCATTCAACAGAAACATAATAAACACACACACTTTACACACTCACACACACACACACACACAGAACATTTACAACTAATAATGATAATTACAAAATAGATTTAAAAATGGGTTTAAACAAATACGCATAACATATAAACAAAACAAAAAACAAAAAAAAAAGAAAACAACAACAACTAAATAACAAACAGAAAAGTCTTCTTGCGTTTTCCAATGTAAGATTTTTTTTTTAAGTTTACAAATACTATCATAATATTAAAGAAGCTCCAACAACAACAACAAGAACAACAAAAATAATATACACAAACAATAAAGTTATTTGTTAATAATCGTATTTGCCATTTGTGCATGTGAGCAAGTTTTTTTTTTTAATATTTATTTTAACTAAAAAAAAAAGGGAAGAAAAACCTCAAGCGAAATGGTTTCCATTTTTTTTGGAGCAACACCCAACCCTCCCCGGCCCCTCTCTCTCTCGCGAAAAACGAGTGTGCGTGTGCGTGTGTGTGTGTGTGTGTGTGTACGTGCATACTTAATACATAAACAAAAACAAAAAAAAAAACAAATATATATATCCTTCCATGTTGTTGTTTTTGGTTTGATTATTGCAACAATAAACGTAAATGCATAAAGAATAAAAACCAACTATAGTTTATTACATAGTATTTAAATATATAAACGAAAATGTGTATTTGTATATGATATGCTCTCGTCTAATACCCTGTAATCCTAACTCACACACACACACACAGACAAACACACACATACGATGCATACATATATATATATAATTTGAAAACATCTCTATATTATGATTGAGTATAATTAAAATCATAGTTTTTAATAGTTTTTAAACAAAACAACAAAAAACAACAAAAACAAACATAAATTGCAAAGTTTTCCAATGTGTTTTTCGTGCGCTGGGCGGGGCGGGGCGTGGCTGGTGTCCATGGCAACCATGGCAACCACCTCAAGGACCAAACATTACGTTCCCAGTATTAGCTGACGACATTTCAGTTTCGATTAGCTGCGTAATCCGTGAATATGGCTGCCGAAGATTCCTGGGTATTCGATTCTCTGGTCTGTTTCCTGCACGGACCCGTCTGGAATGCGCCGCTGCAGACATTTATTGAGCAAAAGTCCCTGGGTATGGATATGAGATGGAGCAATATAGTTGTGGACTGAAAAAAATCGTTTTGTTGCCGCAGTCTTTGATCCCAATTTGCAGCTGGATGAGGGCAACGAGGAGATACGGCAAATCCATGAGGAATACAAGAATCTGGTGGACTTTATGCTGGGCAGTTTTATGGAGGAGATGCACATAACGCCGGAACAGTTTGAGCTGGCCTGCTTGGAGGGACGTCAACAGGGTCCCGGCGAGAATCCCTTCCAGTTCCATCAGGTGCTCTTTCAGCAGGTGAGGCCCAGCTGCATATCCGCCTCAAATGCCAGGCTAAGTCTCGCTTTTGTAGATTTGGGCCGCCAACGATCTGAAGATCTTTATACGCATGATGACGCAACGCAATGTGGAGCTGCAATTGCAGGCGCTGGATCTCATCGAGAAGCATCAATTGGCGCACAGTGCCTCGGCAGAGCTGGCGGACGCGGAGAGCGCAGCGGGCGCGGAAGCCAGGTGGGCATTTATTACGCTTAATTTCAAATTGCATCATATGAATCGTTTGCAGCAATGTGGCGTCCGATTTGGATGTGGATGAGCTAATTGCCAAGACTGTGGCCGATGAGCTCGAAAGTCCGGAGGCGGCTCTGACGCCCGAGCAGGAGGCCAATTTGGAGCTGGTCAACGACAAGTTTCAGCGGCTGAATCTGTTCTTTGAGCGGGAGGATCAGGTGGATCCCAATGAGGTGGTCTCGCGCCAGGAGTATTTGCGCCAGCAGCGCGACAAAATAGTCGAGATCAAGAAACAAACGCGCGCCAAACAGCTGCTGGACACCGTGGCACGCAGCACGCCGCAGCACCAGGAGCCCGGGGCACGACCCAGTTCCGCACAGGTGGCTCAACAGCTGCTCGAGAATGTCGAACTGGACAAATTGCCGCCGGCGCCAGTTGCTGAGGCTGACAATGCGGCGCTGCAGCTGCGACGCACGCTGGCCAAACGGCTGCGCAACGAGGTTGTCGAGCATAATTAGGAGAAGGCATCCATATACCCTTGCAGAGGGTATTGTAGTTATGTTCACGCATAATAGAGTATAATTTATTCGCTCAAGTCTACTCGTTATACCCTAAGTTGACTCTTTATACCCTTGTCCGTCCGACTGCCTATATTCTATTCTGGGAAATACCCTTGCAGAGGGTATTATGGTTATGTTCACGAATTATAGAGTATAATTTATTCGCTCAAGTCTACTCGTTATACCCTAAGTTGACTCTTAATACCCTTGTCCGTCCGTCTGCCTATATTCTATTCTGTGAAATTTTTGGTTTACAAAAGTAAAGTGTTCTTGATTTTTAATTTAGTGTTTAATATTTTATTTTGCAAGCTTTTTGGCCAAGGTTTGAACGAGGTACGTTTTGTGAGTTACCCAAATGCTGACTAGTTCTCACGTGGATAGGTGTGTGTGTGTGTGTGTGTGGGTGCTTTGTTAAATGCTACAAGGTACTACGCGCGTCTGGCGCCCACACACACACACACACACACACTGGCCGCATGACAGATTGTATTGTCTGGCTGAGTGTGTGCGAGTGTGTGTGTGCGTGTGCGGGCGCCACTTTAATTTGGTTAAGCTTTTGTCTCAAAATCAACACAACAATAATAAATGATTAAATTAATTAGCGTTTCGAATGTGCGCTAAGTTATCGTTAAATAAATAATAATGCGTCTTTGTTTAGCTGCTTCAGGTGGGAATGCGATCACGTAGATAGGACATAATGGCATCTGTGCCCTTCATCAGGATTTGATGGCGCGGCTGGCGAAACGGATTGCCCACCAGCTCCAAGTGGCTGCAAAGGCAGAAAAACAAGATAAGCAGAACACATAAACTGAATATAAGAAATGCCCACTGGCAATATATTTCCAGGCACTCACGTAATATTTGTTAGATTTCCCAGTATGGGCGGCACATATTCAATATCATTATTGCGCAAGTCGAGCGTATTCAGCCGGGGCAAACTCTCCAAGCCGGCCACGTTCAGGGCCTTAATGTGATTATCGCTGGCAACTAGAATCTCCAGGCCCTGCAGTTCATACAGGCCCTTCGGCAAATACTCAAAGCTGCAAATGTTGGCAATATTAAGGGTTAATAACAAATTTAATGGCATTAGCTACCGATTGTTGGCAATATTCAGTTCGCGCAGCGTGTTGAGCAGCCCAAATTCGGGTGGCAAGTCCTTAATTACATTGTTAGACAAATTTAGAAATGTTATACGAGTGAATTGGGAAATAAAAGTTGGTACACTGGCAATGACATTGTGGGCCAGGACAAGCTCCGTTACCAAATTGGACATGCGCTGCAAACTAAAAGGAAGGGTTAGCCTATATATATTTCGAGTATGTATTTCATGAGTTACCCCGGCGGGAAAGCACTCAGCTGATTGCGGGCAAAATCCACCACATGCACCTTCTCCGCGCTGGCCAGCTCGAAGACGTGCGTCGGCACATCCGTGAGGTTCTCCAAATTCACTGCCAAAGTGCGCGTGTGACGCAGCTTGTATCTGTAAAATACAATACAGAACATGAGTAAAGGCTGTTAAATCACAATCACAAAAGGAAGAACGATCTTTGCAGTGCCAAAGATTATATACCCTTGCAGCCAGATGGAAAATGTGCCACAAATTTAATTTTATTTGACATAGTTGGATTGGTTAAGGAACCTACTAAAATAGATACATAGTTATACAGCTCTCAGATGCGAACATTATGATTAGGTTAAAAAACTGAGGAGCTCTTAAACAAACAGACGGACATGCCTGCTGCGAATCAAGAAGCACAATAATAAGTTATGGATTTAGTGACAACAAGGGCATATGAGTAGCTCTATAACAATCGAATGCTATGGCTGTGTTTTTGGAACTTGGTGATACACTACACCCAACGAGGTTGCACAACACAACGATTGAACTGGTTATAGGCAGCCTGATGGGCTGGTGTCATCGATGCACAGCCGGGCATATAATGGCCATTAAAATAGGTATCCTGATAGGGCATCTGTGGGTTCGCCGCATAATGATTGGGATGCCCAAATTGTTGCTGCTGTTGCTGCTGCTCTTGCTCGTAATCCTCTGTCATATACTTTGGTGGCCCATTAAACGGCGGATAGTATAAGCCACAATGCGGCTGCTGTTGCTCCTGGTGATGTTGATGGTGATTGTGCATAAAGTGCTGGCACTGGCATTGGCAATGACAGCGCCTGAATGGCGACTGGGCGCAACCGGGCTGCTGGTAGCTGCTGCATCGTTGGATCAGTGCCTGATCAATGGAAAAAAAACCTGTACCCATTGCGCCCAATACTCACTTGTCGGTCATATTGGGTGGCAATTGCTGTTGCTGTTGACTGGATGCAGCTGATCGGCTGCTGCATGCCACGTCCTCGGCGCCGCCATCTTCGCGGCCTTTGGCCTGGGCGCGATCTTGCAGCGTTTTTAGAATGCGGGCTGTGCCGCATTGCAGAATGTCGCGTCGTATTGTCTTGATGGGATTGCCATCCACCTGAAGGCTGATCAAATGCGCCAGCGAGGCCAAGGTGACGGGCAGCACACTAATGGAATTGTTGGACACATCCAGACGATTCAGATTGCGCAACAGGCACACCTCGTCGGGCAGCTGTGTGATCTTGTTGTCGCGCAAATCCAAGATTTTCAAATGCGGCAAATTGGCACACAGATCCTTCGGCACGCGCTGCATAAACAAATTTGTTTTGCTAATCTGCACAAAGCATATCCAAGCCACGTACCTCTATAAAGTTGTTGCTGGCGTGCAGTTCGTTCAGCGCTTCATTGCCCTCAAAGTCAGGCAGCTCCTTGATGTCATTGTGCTGGATATACAAGCATTGCAGCTTGCGCAGCAGGCCCATGTCCTCCGGCAAGCCGATCAGATCGTTCTTCATCAGGTCTAGCTTTTGCAGCGCTTCAAACCGATAAGCAATTACTATAGCATGCGATTTGGGATTTAATGCCAACTTACAGCGCATATAGACAATATCGGGCGGCAGCTCCTTGATGTGGTTATTGGCCAGCAGCAGAGCCGTTAGACGCACCAGAAACCCAATGCCACCAGGCAAGCTGTTTATGTTATTGTTCCCAGCATCCTTTTTTTTTTTTTTAATGATGTTAGCAAAGCATTTGGTTCAGTGGGTAAGTGTGCGGGCGGAGGGGAAAATACGAATTGGATTAGTTGGAGCGGGTTAAAGGATTAGTTTAAATGCGTCAAGCCTTGGGTTTCAACTGGTTAAACCGGCAATTTACTCCTACTTTGGAGCGAAAGTTAAACCAAGCCCAAAAGCAGATTATTATTTTTTTTATATAAATGACAGCCCAAGGTTTGAATCAAAAAGTGGCTTAAAAGTGTGTGAAATCGGTTTTTGGATATCAAACTTAGGCTAAAGAATTGGCTCGAATCGTAACCGATATTTTTTTTGGGTTTGGTTCTTTTCGGAGACCATCTACGTACCAGGAACTCCAGCATGTGCAAATTGCTGATGTCCGGATTGAGCTCAATGAATTCATTATGTGATATATTTAGATGCCGCAGCTCTGGCAAGCTGAATAGCTCGATTGGCAATTCGCTTAGCTTATTGTGGCCAAGATTCAGGCGCACCAGCTTCTCCAGCTTTCCAATCTCTGGCGGCAGCGCGACGAGCGCATTGTCATGCAGCTGCAGCACGGTTAGCGTCAGCAGATTCTCAATTTTGGGCGATATATGCGACAGGGCATTGGAGCTGAGGTCGAGATTTTCCAGCGGCACCTGATTCCACCAGGCATCCTCCTCGCTAATGGACAACTGCACCAGATTGGCCTTCTTGCTGTCCTCGTCGGGCTCGTTAATGTCATAGATACGCTCGGGCACTGCAATAGTCAACAGAAGGGAGGATGAGCATTAGAATTCGTATCGGATGGTGTTTATCATCTCTACGGGCAGCGGCATCTTTGCTGGTTTGTGGCGCTGGATCATCCAGTTCAAGTTCAATCTCATCATCTGGATCGTCGCTTTCCAGCTCATCGGGCGATGAGGCCATTTGAAATTCCCGTATTTGATAATATCGTTGTTGCTGTCGCCGTCGCCGTCGCGGATGCGGACCACACATGCAAAACGATGTGAGCTGCTTCCTTGTTTGCCTCGAGGACGCAATCTTGATGGATATTTTGGTACACAAAACGATGCAAGCGAGACACACTACTGCGGGCAGCGAGCCCAACGCACAAACTGAACGCTCGTGGGGAACACTCATAACAAAAATCACAACATATAAATCAATATGACATCAGTCGCCGCTCGTGGGGATTGACTAGTGAGGCGTGTAATATGGCACGGCGCCTTCTATGGTCAGGCCAGGGGCAAGGTTCGAGATCACATCTACATATACAGAAACCATAAGGCGCTGCTGTCCATGAACCCGGCCGAATGCGAGCTTGTCCCAGAATGTGTTTCTGTCTCATGCCTCACCGGTTTATTGATCATCGTGTGCCAGCGTCGCATTGTCTCTGCACTAACCACTACACACACACACATACACATGCACACATACACACACATACACAGTATCATAACGCAAAATACATCTGAAATTGGCATTTGGCTACTTACCGCGAGACATGCCCTTGTTGGTCATATTCAATGTGCCCGTCTTGCGGGCCAGCTTCCACAGATTATCGGACAGCAGCGCATCGTCCTCCATGTTGGTGCGCTCATGGAACACCGGCTGGAACGAGTAGTTGTTGCGCGGCGATGGACCTTGACGCGGCCTCGCCGCGCCCCTCGGTATGCGACTGCCGGCTGCATAGGAGCCACCGAAATTCTGGCGTTCCGTCATCTCGCAGGGGCAATCGTATTGGGCGTAGCAATCGTTGGAGTGCACCGCGTCCAAATTGGTGTCACCTCTGCAATCGGTGGAGCTATCACAATTACCACAACTAACGGGGTTCAAGAAGTTGCTGTTGAACTCGTCGCTGCAGGCGCGTGACAAAAAAAATGAATATTTAAAATATATATTTATCTTGATTATTTATATACGGCGCTGTTTTGCGCCGTTAGTTTTCATTGTTGTCAGGCAACAGCTGATGTGTGCGTAAAGTGTTGAGCAGCGCCCAGCTGTGCGTATGCGTTTCGCAACACCAGCGAAAAGTGACCTTAACGTTGAATTGAAGCAGATATTCTAATTGGAAAGTTGCGTAAATCAAATTCGATCTAAAGAGGAAACATATTTAAAGCTTAGATTAAATATGCAATTAAAAGATAAGCCTTATTGCAAAAGGCAATATAATTGGGCTCATGCTATAACACAAGTTGCGAAACTAATTAGTGTTAAATATTATTTGAAACTGTATAAAGTGCATATGAATAAAGGAAAAATTAATGTATTGCAGTTGCCAAGCCTTAAAACAAATGTGAGCTGGCCTTCAAAAGTTGCTATTGATCTTGTTGCTGCAGGCAAGTAAAAAATAAGTAATTTTTAATTTTATTTATATTCGGCGCCGTTTTGCGCCGTTAATTTTCATTGCTGTCAGGCAACAGCAGTGTTGAGCAGCGCCCAGCTGTGCGTATGCGCTTCGCAACACCAACCTTAACGTTTAATTAAAAATATATATATAAATCCTAATTGGAAAGGTTTATGCATAAAGTGCTTAATTTAAATTCGATTTAAAGAGAAAACTTATTTAAACTTAGATAAAAATATCCAATTAAAAGATAAGGCAATATAATTGGTCTCTTGCCATAACACACGTTGTGGAACTGATTAGCTTTAAATATTATTTTTTGTTATTTGAAACTGCATAAAGTGCATTTTAATAGAGAAAAAATAAATTTAATGCAGCTGCAGGCGGCCAAGCCTTAAAACAAATATGAGCTGTGCCTGCAGCTGGGCCAGCTACAATAATTGAAATCAATTTAAACTGCCCAAACTGGGGCAATGCTCGGGATGCACCTGACGAGAACTTGCATTCATTTCCATCAATTGAAATTGAGCTAAAGACTTAGCCTCCGGCTGAGGCATAATTGAAATGATCGTGAACTTAAGCCCAAGCCAGGGATGTAAATTTCAAATAAAATAATATGTGGCTTAGTTTCCGGCTTGAATTCGTTGGGTCAAGGTTCACACAGGTGCTACTAAATATATTGCAAGCCTTATATGAAATAAATTTGGTGCAGTTTTAATTGGAAAACCTATTCGAATTATCATCTAATCAGATAAGCTTGCAGCCTGCGGTCACGTGTCGTATACGTAATTTTTGCTGTACTTACCTTTAGGCTGGGCTCAAAACTCGATTTACTTACTTTATCATCATGTGGCTATCCATTTAAGTGCGTTTTTTTTTCCAAAGCTTTGTTGTGGCTTCTGCAACAGATATGAAATAATAAAAATAAAAGAATTGCGTATTACTTGGCAGCAAGGTCAGACAGTCTGTCTGTGTGGGTGCGGGGTGTGAGGGTGTAGGGTGCATAGGGTACGGGGGGCTTGGGGTTGTATTAAATATCCACATTCGCCCTAAGTCTGTGCCAAAATGTTAGTTATAGAAGTTATTCGACACGTGTGGCTTGGCTCTGCTCAATTGTCGCCGAAGCGGCAAAAATGCTGTGCCACACATTTGTTTTTAATACCCTTAACGAGGGTATTTTAATTTTATCAACCATTTTGTGACGCAAAGCAGCAGCAGCAGATAATGAACGACTCGATATTGCCGATTATTTATTTATGCGTTTATATACCCTTGCAGAGGGTATTATCATTTTGTCGTGACCCCATAAAGCTTATATATTCTTGATCAATATCTACAGCCGAGTCGATGTGGCCATCCCGTCTGTCTGTTTAAAGCTATCTCACTGAAACTCTGCAGAAGTCCCTCTTTCTGTTGTACGCAGCATATATATCGCAACCACCTGGATCAGATCATATAGCTGCCATAGGAAGGATGGGTCGAAAAGTAGGTTCTTCTTTGGAAAACTTGTTTGTTTTTCAAGATATCTTAACCCTATTCGGCATTGACTATTTTCCCTGTGCTTCTTAGATACGGGCATTATGCAAAGGTTGGGACTGCAAGGGTATTAAGTGTTCGGCGTGACAAAGATAGCTCTTCTCGTTATGATTCAATTATAGAAATCTTAGTCATAGAAATCCTTTCCAATTTTCAAGCTAACTGCAGCTGTAACAAGCAGCCAGCCCGTAAGCCATATGCCAACAAGAGTATTTAGTCTTCGGTGAGGTGTTTGTTTTTTGTTTTTTTTCTGTTTCAATTTTCTGCCCTGCTTGGGCTCCGGTGTGGCTTACAAACGACGCGAACTACTCTGACGACGAGCGGCTGTCAATCTGAATTATGAATAAAGCTGGCCCACCGCCTGCCTGGAGGGTCAGTTGGGCCCACCACCCCCCTCACTCTCTCTCTCTCTCGCTCTCTCCACCCATCCCCCCATAATGGGCGAACCCTCGAGGCAGTTGGCGAGCTGGCGAACGCCTTGGCTGGGCTTTTGCCAGTTGTCGTTTGGGCTTGTGGCTGGTCGCTCGCAACATTTGCCAGCTGAGTGGGACTTGACGTGGTTGGATTGGCGTTGCAACTGCTGTCAGGGAATACCTGATTTTGAGTTTTGTTTTGTTTTTTTTTTTTTTTTGCTTTTTTTTCCTGTTACGTTTGCCTTCGAATCTGTGGCGTTCCGGCAACATCCGCTGCAAATGTCCGCACGCGTCTTTAAAAGTTTAATGCGCGACTTTTTTGCGGTTAGTCTTCAAAAACAATTGTGAAATTTGTTCAAAAATTTAAAAACTGTTTTTCCGAAAAGGTGCCAAAAAAAAAACAAATAACATGAGTTACTTGAATTTCAAATGAATTTCAAATATGTTCACAAACTGAGTGCAAACGTGTAAGCTGATGATTTGATGGGCTGACGGAACGGGTGGAAAGTGTGGAATGTGTGAAAAGGGTGGAACGGGTGGAATGCGTGGAAGCCGTGGATTGACAGCAGCTAATCGAGACTAAGCCGCGGCTCAAAGCCAGCTTATTGGCATTAAACAAATCCAGAATCGTGTCAATCAATAATCCTCCTCCTCTCCCCTCTCCATTCACACAGGTCAACTACGATGAGCAGCGCGCTGATCCGGAGGCACAGCGTCTGGATGGCAACGGTCGCTATTATCCCAACTGCTCCTCAGATGTCTGGCTGCGCTCCTGCGAGCGTGAGATCCTTGAGCCTCTGGAGGGTCATGCCAGTGGCCAAATACCCGGCTGGCTGAATGGCAGCCTGCTGCGCAACGGGCCCGGCAGCTGGCAGGTGGGCGACATGACATTTGGCCACCTGTTCGACTGCTCGGCGCTGCTGCATCGCTTTGCCATTAAAAACGGCCGGGTTACGTATCAGACGCGATTCGTGGACACGCAGACGCTGCAAAAGAATCGCGCAGCCCGGCGGATTGTGGTCACCGAATTTGGCACGGCCGCTGTGCCGGATCCGTGTCACTCGATCTTTGACAAATTTGGTGCCATCTTTAAGCCGGACAGCGGCACGGACAACTCCATGATATCCATTTATCCGTTTGGCGATGAGTATTACACATTTGCCGAGACGCCCTTTATGCATCGGTGCGTATACGTGATATTTGTGGGATTTGCATTAAAAGGGAGCAGGTCGGGCTGTATATTTTTGGGCCTAGGGTATCTACTAGGCGGCTACTTTTGTAATTCAATCGATGTGTTTTGCTTTTAGCATAAATCCGTGCACGTTGGCCACCGAGGGACGCATTTGCACCACCGACTTTGTGGGCGTGATCAACCACACATCGCATCCGCACATCTTGCCCAGCGGCACGGTCTACAATCTGGGCACCAGCATGACCAAATCTGGGCCAGCATATAGCATAATTTGCTTTCCGAACGGACGGCACATGTTCGAAGATGCGCACGTTGTGGCCACATTGCCATGCCGCTGGAAACTGCATCCCGGCTACATGCACACCTTTGGCCTGACCGAGCACTACTTTGTCATCGTGGAGCAGCCGCTGTCGGTATCCCTGCCGGAATACCTCAAGACGCAGCTGTCCAATCAAAAGCTGGCGGCCTGCTTAAAATGGTACGCGGAGAAGCCGACACTGTTCCATCTGATAGATCGCGTCACGGGCAAGCTGGTGCAGAGCTACGAGTCGGAGGCATTTTTCTACCTGCACATCATCAATGCGTACGAGCAGGACGGGCATGTCGTGGTAGACATATGCAGCTACAGGAATCCCGAGATGATCAACTGCATGTACCTGGAGGCCATTGCGAATATGCAAACGAATCCCAACTATGCGCAGCTCTTTCGCGGGCGTCCCTTGCGCTTCGTGCTCCCACTGGGCGCCAGCTGCAGCTCCGGCAAGCGACGCCTGGTCAAGTCGCTGTCCCTGGCGGGTCTGACGCCCCCGACGCCACCGGCACGCCTCAGGCACTCCGCCTCGCAGTATGCGGACATTAGCTACATGGCCACCAATAGCAAGCAGGAGGGGAGTCCGGGCAAGCAGGAGGACGACGGCTGCATCAATCTGGTCAGCCTGGAGCACAGCCTAGCGGAGGCGTATCGCGTTGCCAACGGCATATTCCTGCGACCCGAAATGCTGTGCAACTGGGGCTGCGAGACGCCCAGGATATACTACGAGCGGCACATGGGCAAGAGCTATCGCTACTTTTACGCGATCAGCTCTGATGTGGATGCACAGAATCCGGGCACGGTAAGCTGAAGCTGATTAAACCAACTACCTATCGCTAACCCGTCTCCTTCACAGCTCATCAAGGTGGATGTTATGAGCAAAACGTGTGCGACCTGGTGCGAGCCAAATATTTATCCCAGCGAGCCGATCTTTGTGCCGGCGCCGCAGCCGCAGAGCGAGGACGATGGCGTCCTGCTGGCCTCCATGGTGGCAGGCGGACTCAACGATCGCTATGTGGGCCTCGTTGTGCTGTGCGCCAAGACCATGACGGAGCTCGGGCGTTGTGAATTCCACACAAATGGACCCGTGCCGAAGTGCCTGCATGGCTGGTTTGCGGCCAATGCCGTTTAAACTGCATGTTAAATATTTATCCGCTTGTTAATCGCCTTTTCTATTCACTTTAGCACTTAGCCTTAGTCTAAATTTAGATACTATTTGAACTTGGGATTTAATATGTTTGCAATAAACTCTTGCCACTTCCTCTGGAACACGCGATTGAACTTGCGCCTCTCCAGAGAGGTGAGCACCGAGTATTTGATGGAGTTCAGCGCCAGCTGCTTGAGGAAACGCAAATCCGCCTCGGCCGGCGCCATGGCCATGAAGGCATAGTAGAAATCATAGCTTAGGCCTTTGGCACCCCAAACGCCGGGATCATCGGCGGAGATGACAATCGGAAAGTTCTCGGCTATCAGAAAGCTGGCCGGATGATTGCGCAGATCCCAGATGAAGCCCAGCACCTGGTTGGACAACGGATTCACCTCGATGGCGATGTTGCGCTTCTTGATCGTCGACCACAGCTGCGGATGCTTCGGCAGCGCAAAGCCGTGTCCAATGCGCTTTGTGTTCAGCAAAATGGCATCCATCATGTTCCAGTCGGTGCGTCCATACCAATCTGAAGAGTGGGATTTAGGATACTTAGAGCCAACTATGCATTAAGGATTCGCTTCACTTACTTGTCTCGCCCGCATGAAAGAAATAGTTGGCGGTGCTGGGCAAATCCGAGAATTCATTCACATATTTACTCAGCATGTCGCCCGTGTCCTCCTGCCCAATCATGTCGAAGCCAATGATGAAGTTGGGCTTGGCGGAGCTGAATTATTATTAAGTAAATTAATATTATTTATAAGTAAGTCTTCATGTACAAAATATTTCTGAGCAACGCACAGCCCAAGCCTCAAAAATATTAACAGCTTCGAACTAGCAAGCGAGAGATCGCCTGTTCAAATGAAAGGGCTATTTTCGGCACGCCAAAGATTTAATACCCTTCCAGAGCCAATCTTTTTGTACTTACTGCAGCTGCTTGAAGGTGCGTATATTCTCGGCCATTTTCTCCTCCGTGGCGCGATTGCGTTTCGCATAGATGACCTTGAGACCGACAAAGTCCGGATGCTTGGCCTTGAACTCCTCGACGATGCGCTCCAGCTGATTGGCCACATCCAGCGAGCTATACGTGCGATTGTTGTCATCATAGAGCTGGCCAAAAGTTGCGATTAAGCTTGCAGATTGGTGTCGGTTTCCAGACGTAGCATACTTACGGGCGAGAGCGAGAATCGGAGCTCGGCATACATGATGTTGTCCTCGCAGAGCTCCTCCAGCAGACGCTTGTGATAGGCGCAATATGTGGGCTGATATTTATAGAGACGATCGACCGTGGTGAAAATATTCTCAAAACGATCCCAGATCTTCTTTCGGTTCGGCAACAGAGCTGTCGAGGGTCGAGTATAGAGTAGAGTATAATCGAGAGATCGGAGCACTTACACTCCGGCCTGGTGCTGTGCATATTGATGTGCCTCTCCAGCTGTCGTTCGTATTGATGCCGATCCTCGGCATTGATGCGCTCCGTGCACACGTTCTGCTCCTCGCTGTGGCACTTCGAGCTGGCCGTATCGTAGGTGAAGATCAGCAGTCCGTTGATGTCCCGGCAGGTGTACAGATTGTTTGTGTTGGTCAGATTGGCGACGATCCACTTGGAGCTGACCATCGCCGTGTTGTGGCCGTGCAGAAAGGCGCCCTTCGGCATCTTCTGTATAATGCGGAACACCTCGCTCTGGCGCACAAATTGCTTGCCCTGAAAGAAGTGCATGGCCGGCGCATACTTCTCCGGATGCTTGATGCCCTCGGCAATCTCCGCGCGCTTGGCGTTCATCAAAATGCTGTTGGCCTTCTCCTCGTCCGCCGTGAGCCAGAGATTGCCGCCCAGCGAGGCCATTTGCTCCGCCTTCATAATACGCTCGCGCAGCGTCTCATAGGCTGAATGGAATTCAAAAACAGGGTATCAGGTCGGGTATATCGATTACTCGCTGTTGACCTACGCAGATCTGCGCCGCGCAGCTGGCCCAGCTGCAACAGCCACAGGCACAGCAGCTCCAGCAGCATCGCGCAATTGCTCAACTTTGAGTATATAGACGTTAATTTGAATAGTTCTATATATTTGCTCGACCTTCTCGTTTGCCGTCCACTTGCTAACTGATAAAGCCGCTGGCGACTCGCGCCTATCAGCGGGCATTTTGGGCTCTCCAAAAAAAAGTCTTTCCGATGCTCTCCGTGGGAGAAAGAGAGAGCAAGTGAGGGGGAGAGAGGGCGAGCCAGCTGTGCCAGAGTTCAATGTCAGCAATATGCAAATTGCGCCCACTGACCGACGGGGGCGCGAAAATTACACACACATATATATATATATATATATATATATATTTATCTGTATACATATATAAATATGGATTTGCATAGTCGGAGACCCTGCATGGCACAGACTTATCATACTTTATGCATACCCATCTATTGTTCCACATATACATACGAACATGATAAACTTCTAACCTTCTATATTAGAATCTTTGTTTGGGTTCTTGAACATAAATCGAGGATTGTAAGAGCTAGAGACATCACACATAAGGAATAACTCACCTTTTCCTTATCACCTTCCCGTTTACGTTAGAAATAGCTTGATTGACTTTATTTTAAGAGAATCATCATGCGTATTGATATGCACACACTTTTGTATGTCATATTCCAACCCTGAAAATTTCATAAAGATCGGACGATAAACACCCGAGGTATAGAAAGTCTCTGCATATAGAGCGTTGCTTCTGCGAGCGGGAAGCTAGAATATCTAGCGACAGCTTGGCAGCTCACTTCTATTATCTATTAGATACATAGTTATATATGCTAGAAAAGTAAACATTTCTATATTATTATATAATACTTATTACCTAGTTGTAGGGCATCTGTTAGTCGCGCATGCCCAGCTGGTTCTATGTGCATATGTTATCAGCACGTTTTTGTATATTTTTTAGTTAAAAATGCTTCTTTTTTTTTTTGCATATTGTTTACTAACCCAAATTGTTTTGGGGCCACTAAAATTGATACTTGGCATTGAATGGGATATGTTCAAATTTGCCACATTCAAAGCCCCAAACAATAAGTGTGCGAAAGGGTGAGGGGGGTGAGAGAGTGAGAGAGTAAGGGAAAGAGAGAGAGAGAGAGAACAATGCTGGAAAAGTAAAATGAATCGTGGGAAATATATAAACTGTATATTTTCTTATTTTAAAAACCAACAGCTTATGTGGATAATAAACAAATAATTATCTAGCACTAGAAAACAGTATTAAAACGAAGGAATTTATTATTATTTTGATTTAAATCTGTGGTATTCAACTGGCTTAAAACAATTGGCCCAGCTATTAACAAAATGAACAAGAATAGCCTGCAAGGTCTTCTTACAATAAATAAACTCTCAACTGAAATTACAAGTAAAATAAATATTTAATTTTTGTAAATTGTTTCGCAGTTTACAGCACTGCTAATTGTTCCAATTATCTGTTATTTAAAGTGACGTTGCATTTATTCTAAAATATCACAAATTATTTCTTATAAATAGGCGGATTACTTTGTTTTTGATGTCTCCAATTACCGTTAAGTATTCGTACGCCCAGCCCCCAAAGCGAACTCCCGGCGAGAAGAGCATCGACTCGTACGGGGAACAGCTCATTTCGTATGCGATTAGAAACCAGCTAAGCGCGTCCGTAAACGTCAGTTGACAATTAACGAGCTCCTCTCGAGCATTGCTCGACTGAGAGATGCCCTGTAAGTTGTCGAAAAGGTATGTCTGGGAGTTGTGCTTAAAAATAGAACTTTCTTCTCCTTCTCTGTCTTTCTCTATTCCCATCTCTTTCTTTCATTCGCGTCCTCTCTCTGTCCATCTCCCTCTTTCGCGGGACCTACTCTCTCTCTTTCCAAATAAAAAATGTGTCTGCAAATGTAAAGTGTCTAGCCAGTATTACTCTCTGTCTCTTTCACTATATCTCTCTCTCTCTCTCTCAGAAACGGAAGATGTCTTCGAATTTAAAGTGTTTAACGGATCTTACTCTCTCAGTCTCTCTTTTTATATTTCTCTCCCTCTCTCTCTCCCACTCTGTGCTTTCAGCATAGCTGTAAGAATTCAATGGGAATCTAATAGAATGGAATGGAATAGAATACGATGGGAAAGATTGGGAAGCTCTTCCTTAATATTTATGTATATTCTTAAATATATCTATATATTTATATTCCCAAAAATCCTGTCAAACTAAGCTGCATGCCACATTGGGATCACAAAGAGTGTCTTATAATTTAATTAATTAATTTATTTATTTATTTATGACATCAAACTATGAAAATGAAGTGCTAAAAGCCTAACTAGAATAATTTTTGGGTCTTTGTCTGACATATTGCTTGGGCAACTGTAGATACCCCGTCGCCGCTCGCTGAGCTACAGGGTATATCAATTAAAAAGCATTGGGCGGGCTTGGGTCTGTTTTTTTTTTTAGTTTTTTGATTCACTTGATATGCACAGCCATATGCCTCGAGTCGAAAAACCAGCGAAATGTTCGCTACTAGAACAAATTTCGCAACAACAAAAAAATGAAGAAAAACATTTATTAATTGTGAATAATAGTGTGTTGTTTGGGCTTAAGCAATTTCCAACAACTATTCCAAAATTTTTTGCCACCGCATGATAAACTGACGACAAGCTCCTCGCCCAGTTCTCGCAGAGCACGGCTGGCGAACGGGCGCACCACCACCAATGGGACAATAGAATATATCCGAGAAGCCGAGGCACACACGTAATTATCACCTGTAAAAGGTAATAGAAAAATATTTGCGTAGGCGGCTCATTAATTGGGCCAAAGCAAATCGAAGCTAGAGTCAAACAAAATTTCTTTCGCTGACGCCATTCGAGACTATGAGGCGACTCTTGGTGCTGCTGCTCGGACTGCTCGTTAATCCGCCTAGCAGCAAATCGGAGACGGCTTTGAGTAAGGATTGGGGCAGGTTGGATGCACATAATGTCATATATGTATATAATTGTGTTCTCCAGGCTATGAGAAGGCGCGCCTGGCGGTGCTCAGCGCCGAGGAGCAGCTCATGACCGGCGGCCGAACCAGTCTGAGCACGCAGGAGTCCCAGGTGGACGATCTCTTCATGCAGTACAAGCTGGGCGAGCTGGCGCAGGGTTTTCGCAATGCCGAACAGAATGCAGCTGCCATGCATTTCTTCAAGGCCAAGCCGCTGATCGATCGCAGCGCGATCTTCCGGTTCCTGCAGCAGATGCCCAAGGGAGCTGTGCTCCATATGCATAACACCGCTGCGGTCAGCTCCAGGTGGGTGCTGCAGAACATGTCCTACATGCCGGGCATGATGCGCTGCACGGACGCGGCCGGTCGCAGCCGTTTGAGCTTTCGGCGCGCCATCAAGGAGCACGGCTGCACCTCACAGTATGTCTACGTGGCGGACGAGAGGCGCAACTCCATCGATCCGGCGTTGTACGATGAGAATTTCGAGCGACTGATTAACTTGTATACGCCCGTGCCGGAGCGTGAGTTCCAGCTCGTAATGGACACTTTTCCTAGCAAATAACTATGCTTATTTTTCTTGCAGTGGAGCATCCGACAATAACTGCCGTTTGGAACCGATTCCAGGGCATGTTCGATACCTTGACAGAGGCCATCTATTACCTGCCCGCCTATCGAGCCTATCACTGGCAGATGCTGGAGGAGCTCTACAACGACAATGTCATGTACGCCGAGCTGCGCATCAGCCTGCGAGAGGTGAGAGCTTTAACCGGCTTTCAAAGCTTTCGCCTAAGCCTGCCTTCTCTTCCCTCCCTTCTTGCAGCTCTACGACGCCAGCGGACGCACCTTTCCGCGGGAGCAGGCGGTGCGCGAGCTGCAGTCGCTGAACGAGAAATTTGTGCGCCTGCATCCGAATTTTGTGGGCATCAAGGTCATCTATGCCGTGTGGCGAGGCGCGGACGCGGATCGGATGCGCGAGAATGTCAAGGAGTTCAAGCTGTTGCAGTAGGCGTGGCTGCTCAAAGACCTTTGTACCGGCTTAACTCATTTGTTCTCTTGCAGGGAGACCTTTCCGCAGTTTGTGATCGGCTTCGATCTGGTGGGCCAGGAGGACAAGGGCAAGCCCATATACGAGCAGCTGGCGGCCCTAAAGGATTTGCCGCCCGGCACACGTTTGTTTCTGCACGCGGGCGAAACAAGTGAGTGACATGAGTAGCACCTCCGAGAGAAGTAATTCCAAGTGTTCCTTGCAGATTGGTTTAGTGCCTCGACGGATATCAATATGCTGGACGCGCTGCTGCTTAATACCACGCGCATTGGCCACGCCTTCGCTCTGGTCAAGCATCCCATTCTGATGAATGCCGTGAAAACGCGACAGATCGCTGTCGAGCTGAATCCCATCTCGAATCAGGTGCTGCACCTGGTCTCGGATATGCGCAATCATCCGGGTGCACAGTATTTGGCGCTGGATGTGCCCGTCGTCGTGTGCAATGATGATCCCGGCTTTTGGAACGCCAAAGGTCTCAGCTATGACTTCTACTATGCCATCATGAGCATGGCGCCCAACAATGCCGGAATTCGTGTCCTAAAAACTCTCGTTTTCAATTCAATACGCTACTCGGCGCTCACGGAAAAGGAACAGCAGCGAGCCTACCAGTTGCTCGAGCACAGCTGGGCACGTTTTATGGACAAAGTGCTGCAGGGCAAGGTGTTCTAAGCAGGCTTATGACGATAAATAAATCTACAAAATGGTTTGTGATAGCTAACAAGATATAATATAATTCTTATAAAATAGTAACACGCATTAAAACTTTGCCTGACCCTGCTTGTCGATCAATTGCCGAACTACATTAAATTAATTACATTTGCCTTAACACTATTAATCAATTCAATTATGGATACGTTGTTTTTGATAGATGTGTGCGATACCTCAGATTTTAGATTTACGTGGGAATCTAACAGAGAATCGATTTGGTTTGCATTTCACAATTTCTCTGACATAAAGAAGAGGTCTTAAATACAATACAAATAATAATTTAACATATTGAAGCAAAAGTTTTAGAATGTAGAATTATGCTTAAAGTATTTAACCGAAGCATAAAATATCACGCGCTTAATCATAATGTATAAAGGTTTTTGTCAATATCTAAGTCGGATGGCCATGTTGCTGTACGAAACGCTCGCAGCTCTCCAGGATTTGTGTGTACACCGCATGAAAGCTGCCCATGCCCTGACTCTGCAAGCAAAAAGGGTTTGATGAACAACATCAATAAGTACACTTGAAGGTAATTACAAAATAGGGATCTTGGATAATCTCGTCTTCCTTGCGATTCAGATAGCTGCCCAGCAGTAGTATGCGGCATTTTGGCTGCGGCTGCAGCTGAGCTGCCATTTCCTGCAACTCTGCCAGATTGCCTTCATCCATGCCGAAGATGTAGTCAAAGCTGTAAAAGTCCTGTGCGGTAATCTGAGAGTTGGGACCAGGTGTTAGATTGTTATTTTCATAGTTAGCTTCTGTGCATACAATACGACTTAGATGTTGGGTCTTAAGGCCGTGCTGTTGCAGCAGGTCTTGGGCACGCCCCTGCGCCCGCAGACCCACATTCCAATCACGGAGTCCGGCGCTGTCCGTGTGCCAACTGTGCACATGTTTTTTATTTATTAAATGCCGCAATATCGCCTCCGCCATGGGCGAGCGACAGGTGTTCCCTATTGAGATAAACATTTTAAATTGCTCAAAACCATCTTACACAATCATTTACCACTTACCCAAACAAACAAATAAGACTTTCATGTCACAAGCGAGAATTTGTACAACAAATTTTAATTTTCTGCAGTATAACACTTAATTTAACTGTAAACAGAGCAAATATTGCTCAACACCTAACGAAATGGTGTAGACCAAAGCAGAGCGAAAAACAATTTATTGCAGCGAGGCGAAAGTATTTCACCACAATGAGTAGCAATGCATGTAAACATTGCCTGCACACACACATAGACAAACCGGTTCGCACACTTATTTCAATTGCGGTTTAATCAGTTTATATATTAATTATGTACAACAACATTTAACTAAGATTATTTTTGCAGTCGCTGCTTTACAAACGCTTCACAAGCCACCACACACTGCTGATAGGCCGTCTCGAAGCCCTCGGCGCCACTTTGCTGGAAAGGAAACGCAAATAATTTAAATTAAATCGCAAGCCATTGACAGTTAACTTACATAATAGGGATCCTCAATGATGCGGTCCTTTGCGTTCAGCCCAAAATCGCCCAGCATAAGCAGCTCCGCCTTGGAGCCCTTCGGCGCCAGGCTGCGCAGCTGGCTCATGTTGTCCTCATCCATGCCAAATATGTAGTCGAAGTCGGTGAAATCCTGCTTTTTAATTTGGCGCACAATGTGCTTACTGTCAAGGCCATGCTTTTTAAGTGTGCTCAAGGCACGCGGATCTGCTCGATTTCCCACATGCCAAGATCCGAGCGCGGCGCTGTCGACAACAACACCTTCAATTTTCGCCTTGGCCAAGGTGTCAACCATAACCACCTCGGCGATGGGCGAGCGGCAGATGTTGCCTGTGGACACAGTAAAGGCGATTAGTGTGTCGAGCCATTTTTGCTTTCAATTAATTTATTACCCAGGCAAATCATTAATATTTTTTGCACCATATTAAAACGGAATAGTAATTTTTATGTATTTATGCCGGTTAAACTATCAGCTGCCATTTGGCAACACTGGTGCACTGGCACAAGTTGGCAGCTTTACAGCGCAACAGCTGTTAGCTCTGCAATGTTGCCAGCCAGTTAAATCCCGATATTAATTCTGTCGTGACGCGCGTTTTAAGAGCAGCTTCTTAATTTGCTTTCAGACTCTGAATCTTGTTCAGACTATAATTAAACTTTTCGTTCGAGTTCGGGAAGTGACACAGGGATACGATATTATATTTGTAAAATACGTGGCTTAGACAAGTGCTATTTCTTTTTATAACAAACTAGCAATATGAACAAAACTAACGGAATGGTGAATTTGAAGCGAACTTATGTTCATGGCGGCAAGCTGACAGTAGTTCACCACAGTTCGCTTCGGATGTCGGTATAAGTGAAAATAAAACCAATGCGAACCGTTTCGCACACTTCTCTAAATTTTATAAATAAATAAAACAACATTTCATTAACATGCTGACGCTGCTACACAAACGCATAATCAGCTTCTGCATTTGCGCCATAAAATACATGTCGCGGCTCACAATAACGGTTGTTTGCAAATTCGTCTTTGCCAAGCTGTTCCACCACAACAGCCTCAGCTATGGACGAACGGCAGAGGCTAGCATTTAAAAGTCTTATTGATGAACAAGTCGAATTTTTGTCGTCAATTAATTTATTGCCAAAAACAAATTAGTATTTTTTTCAACATTGCTAAAATCAATTTGTACGCCAAAGTTTATGTTATGCGATTTAAATTGTCAGCTGTCGTTGCCAACACTGGCGAACAAGTACACAAGCTGGCGGGTAACATCGCAACAGCTGTTGTTAACCCTGCAATGGTGCCCGCCAGTTGAATTCTATGTTATAATCTCGTCCTGTCGCGCTTGTTTTAAAAAATTGCCGCATGCCTGCGTGCACTGCTCGTAAATCTTCTGAAACGGCGCCTCGCCCATCTCCTACAAATAATAATTATATATAAATATAATATATAAATGCTCGCTATTTACGTAGTATGGATCCTCGATGATGCGTTCGTTCGGCTTCAGTCCAAACAAAAAGTCGCCCAGCATCAGAAGCTGCGACTTGGCATAGTATGGCTGCAGCAGCTTCAGGGAGGCCAAAATGCTCTGATCCATGCCCAGTATATAGTCGAACTTCTCGAAATCCTCCGGAGTCAGCCGTCGCGCACAGCTATGATAGTTGATATTGTTCTGCCGCAGCACGCTCAACGCCCGATCATCCGGCCGGGCGCCCAGGTGCCACGCCTCAATCGCGGCGCTGTCCACGCGCCAATTCGAATGAAGATTGTCCTTGACGATGATGTCACGCAACACAGCCTCTGCGATTGGTGAGCGACAAATATTATCTGAGGGGGATTTTAAATATATATTTTTTTTAAATTTTATTATCATATTTCTTTTAGATTATTATAATTATTTTTGTTTCTCACCCACGCAAACCATCAAAACATATTTGGTTTTACGTGCTTTGTTGCTCATTTTCTACGGGTTTTCCTAAGTCTCTTCAAGGCGAGAATTTGCAGAATTTTATTTTTACGAATATTGCTTAAACTTGTCTGTTTTTCTGTTTACAAACGAATTTTATGTAAATGTTAAATGACAGACAAACTGGTTGAGACTGAAAAAAATAAGAATTGTTCACATTTAGTTGCTCTATTAAAGCACCTGTTGCATTAGAAGTAAAAATACACAGATATATCTATGCTATTATATACATATATTTGTTTGTCTGCATATTTCCTGGTACTACAGTTTTTGCCGGATGTGGATAAGTTCGTGTGTGAAATAAGATTAGACTGGTAAACAGAGTGCGGACTTCTTAAGTCGGGTTGTTTGGTCTGTCTGGAAAAGGATTCGAAATGCTAAGGTTCATTTTTTAGGGGATAAGTTCTGATTATGAACAAGAAAAAGTGCCGAATGTACTAGCATACACGTTAGTCTCGCAGAAAAGTTAAAAACAAATTATCTATCACAAAAGGAGCCAAAGCAATATGAAGATAAATAGATATAAAGATACAAATTCACATGGAAAATTGATTATTTGATCTTATTGCCCAATAAGGAAACTTCATATACGGAATTTCGATTTCGATAAAGTTCACGTGTTTACAATGTTCTTATGCTCAACAAACCTGCAATTTTCTAGGCTGTATATTCGACTATATTTGATATCTTAGACAGCAAATGATTTTGTTACCAATTTCTTGTTATTTCTCGTAACATTTCTTAAAAGTTATATGAGCTACATTATAAATTATAGTATACATAGGTCCAACAAATGTTTCTCAACCACTCAGAATCGAAGAAGATCATTTTTGAAGGCATAGTCTTGAGCTTGAATGTGATATTTATGCACTGAAAATTGCATTCAGATCGGACAACAAGCACCGAAGCTTGCCACAAATTGTGGGCCCAGAGCATGTGTGGCAGGGTATATCACAGTCAGGCACACCCGATGAAGTAGAGAGTAGAGCTCCAGGGACTCACTTTAAAGTATTTCGGTTTTAAGTAAACATTGAGCAGGATTTCAAGTCCGTGTCTGAGCCTGCGAGGTGTTAATCTAAACACAAAGTATTTTTATAAGTAGTTCAAGTCAAGTGCCTCGCACTTCCGGCCGGAAGTATTTGCGCAAGTCGAACGAGTTGAGCTATAAACGTTTAATTAAAGTTGGCTAAATGCAGAAGTGCGAGACCATTTCCATGGCCAAAAGCTGTGCTCTGTCAAAGTTGCGTCGAGTTGTGCCCCATGAATATGCAAGACCTCGCAGGAGCTCGAAGCACCTCTCACAGGACCTCTTTCTGCGACAGATGCACATATTCTTAATGACTTTTATGGTGACGGCAGCGTCCACAGTTGGCAGTTGGCAGTTCTCGGGTGGCCAGGCGGCAAGGCGGGGTCAGCTGGGGGTCAAAGTGCAAGCTGCTGCTGTGCTCAGGTTTGGGCTTGTGGCACAAGATGAAAACTTAGTTTTATGCAAATTACACACATAACAAGAAGATAAACAAAACGCCAGACCTGACGAGTTGCCTGCTCTGCATTTAAGGGGCGGGCCGGGGCGTGGCGAGTGCATCAAAGTGAGCTTGTCTTGGCGCAGACAACAACAGCTCGACTCATGCAAATTTCCTAGGCCAGGCGTTGCTGCAGTGCATCCTCGGCAATTGACAATTGTTCAAAATGCAAATGGAAATGCAGCGACACATGCGACAGCAAGAACAAGCTGTAAACGTGCTTTAATGGGCAGTGCCTGACTAGAATATACCCTGTCATTAATATTTTAAAGAATTTCTTTTACATATAAATACATTATGTTATACAAGGATACAAGCTGCGAGATGGGGTTAGCGAACTTAAGCCGAAAATCGATACTTATCGATTTCGTGGAAGCGGGCCAAGTTATCGTTGATTGCGTTATTATACCCTCTGAAATCGATGCTTGATTGGGTATACTTCTTTTGACATTTTTCATGGGTACAGGGTATCACAACACAACAACAACTAATGCATATGCGTTGAGCGTTATGTTTAAAGGCGTTGACATTGTCAGGAGTTTGACAAACGAGAAGGTCTGCTGCAGATAAGATAAAACGGGCAGCATTATCAACAGTCAGTGCAAATACGAGTGTACCACCGACAAGAGGAACATTTTCAAGTGCAAATGAGGCGGCAAACTGATAAAAGATGAAAACCATATGCAAACTAGACAATTATGAGGCAGATGGACAAAATGCCAACAAATATGGCCGTAGAGCAGCCATTTTGCAGATGAAAAGCGGAAAAGCAGTAAAGCTGCCAGACAGACACAAATGTCTTGCCAAATGTCTATCTATCTGTCTGTCTGTCTGTCTGACTGTCTATTTGTATCTTTATCTTTATCTCTATGTAGCTGGCTGGCAGCTTCATCAAATATTTAGCGCCAGGCATTGTACATATTGTAAAATGTAAATACGAAACGGACGTCGAAGTGGTGGAGTGTATCTGTATATGTGTGTGTGTGTGTGTGTGTGTCTGTGTAAATACAAACTACCCTGTGCTGCTCTTTACGGGGGAGGTGCGGCTGCAGCTGCGGGTCTGGGTGTGGGTGTGGGTGTGGGTGAGGGTGTGAGGCAGTGCCAACGACCAAGAGCGCACAAAAACAAAAACCATCGCAGCCAAAAAGCCGGCAACAACAAGTGCCCAGCAACAAGCCTAAAAGTTGCGAGCAACAATGTTGCCGGCAACAATGTTGCAACAAAGCTGCTGACAGTCGCGTTCAGGTGCGGCTTGAGCTATTAGGGGGTTACATGTTATTTACATTAAAAAACCCATATATTTCAGAAATATATGTACTTTTTCTTGAAATAAATGGATGAATATTTAAAGTAAATATAAGAACAACATTCTATACATTTAGAAAATATCAATTTAAATGAGGTCTGAGCTTGTAATAAGTATGTAAACATTCCTTCTTTATTCATGTCAAGTCAATTGGGATGCTTTCCTTAAATATTGAGTTACATTTATTTTTAAGCAAAACTAAAAAGTATTTATGGATAAAAACATGTACATATATTTGGAAATCTTGATATAAACTATTAATCTTTTAAAATTCATTTTATGTGAGCTCTTAGTACAAGTTCAAGTACAACAATTAAATCAAATACTAACCCGTAATAGGTAGCTCACTTAGGTGTACAGCAAAATTCTTAACCCAAAAATATTCGCTGGAAATAATAGTAACAGCATGTGCTGCTGTAAACACGCACACATGTGGGCGCAGTGCAGGCAAGTCCGCTCCTGTGTGTGTGTGTGGCCTGGCTAGGGCAGAAGTGCATGTGTTTGCGTGCATTTATCTCGTTTCGACTTGTTATACTGCGACGCCAGCTGCGACCGAGGCAGCGACTGCGAAGCGACTGCGTTGTCAGAAACTTGTTTTCAATGTAGTTGGGTTTAGTTTACTTTGAGACGGCAACGCAGGTGGACGTGTGCGCTCGACAAACCGGCAAAACGTGAACGTGAGGCGCGTCGCGAATGAACGGAACG